AAAAACGCCTCATTGTTACGTTGTCTTCGGTCTTAAAAAATTTATCGATCGTTTCGGCGGCTGACATCCCAATTAATGTTGTTTAAAATGACAATACTCATTATTCAATGTTCGTTAAAAATATTCGAATAATTCGATTGAAAAAATACGATTTTGCCCACCACTCATCACGGCGCATGTAAATAATCATTGAATGGCAATAAAAAAATTAACGTGCTTAAAATCCAAGTAGTTTCCATGCATTTGATCGTCGCTACACGTGAGCGTGTTTTTGTACACATTTTAAACGATTATGACGCTAATGACATCTGCGAGTTATAGTTCTCTCTCAAGTTATTTTTCGCTATTTCAAAAGATTTGTTGCTAAATACGGGTACCTGCTGACTACAGATTAATGGTCGATGTTTCAAATAGGACCTAATTCACCAACATCGTCGGGCAAAGAGAGACGGGCTACACGTAACTGTGGAATTTTGCTGTAAACGATGCATACTTCTTAGTTCCTGAAACATCTTACGTCGTCGTGAATTGCACGTTTGCTGCACCCCTGTCTAGGTTTATGTGCCTCTCATCCACTAAATCTGGTCCTACCAAAAGGCGTATACTTACCGATCGTATAGGTTATTTTTTCGTTCATGTTTGAGGATTTTGCAAAACTTAGATACCTAAGGCATACGCTTATTGAACGTGGAGAAATTGAATAAAGCGACCAGTCAGCGCTCAACTTCCCAGAATACCAATGAGATGAGATTATCGCTCTGTCGGATGTACAAGACTGAAGACGAAACGATGTATGTGAAACACCTTAATATTATTAATAATTCAATATATAATATTTATTTATATATTATGTTAATTTAGTTTTTATTACGTATCTATTAATTCAGAAAATCAATTCAATTTAACAAATGCCTTTTCTCTAACTAGGTTTGGTTTTTGATCGGCAGTGTATTCGTCGGGAACTTGTTGCGATCGATTGTGGATATGTTGAAAATTATTAAAATAATTTTGATTGAAAGCGTTAGGGAAATAGTTTTGTGGTGATGTCATTGGTGGGAAATTCATTGGATATTGAGAAAAGGGATTAGGTGTCATTCCATTTGTCCTAGCAGTTCCCAGTCGTGGAATATTCCTTGGGTTCGGCGGTGAAATCGTTGGCGTGGCTTGCATTCGAGTTACTAGGGGAAAAGTAGTATTTTCGTGACTTTTGGGATTTCTACTATCAAAAACATCGTCTATTGTAGATATCGATGTAGACGGCCGACTCCTAGCTGACGGACTGCGGTCTCGTGACTCACGTCTACGAGATTCTACAGAACGTTTTCGAGTTGTTCTTGGCCGAGCCGAAATGCTATTATTCAGCTCATATTCCTGGCTACGCGAATCACTTGGAATGCGCATGGATTTGACACTTGGTTCATCATTGTGCTGCCAGTGATTAGCATAATTAGGCATATTTTGTACATTGTATATAGGAAATGATGTACTGTTATTAGGTGTGGAAAACAACGACGGTTGAAAAAACATATTTGGATTCTGAGATAAATTCTCTCTCTTTTTTCCATCTGGGAACATATGATTCTGCCATGGAAATAGACCACCTTGAAATGAAGACTTTTGATGTTGATCTGGTGGGGTAGGTTGCATGTTTGATAGAGGGTGAACAAAGCCAGTCTTTCCTCCTTTCTGTAATTCGAGCTTTGGAAGACGGTGTGCAAATGAGGCAGCCTGAACATCGGGCAAATTTGTCGAAGTTTTTGGCCGCAATTCAATCGCTGCCGCACTGTCTTTCTTCGGTGTAACAGTCTTTGATTTACGTTTATGCTTTTTCTTGGATTTAACGGTAGATGAGTTTTCAGTCGGTGGCTGTTTTTTATTATGCCGTTTCTTGTTTTTATTCACACTGGCTTCGGGTAGGTTCTCAGTCAAACCTCTATTCAACGGAGATACTGTGTTGGGCATTTCAGCTGCTGGTTGCAAATTAATTCGCCTCTTTTCAAGTTCGGCCTCCAAGTCATCAATTGAAAAACCTCCCAATAGTGTTATAGGCGTCGTCATATTGTTTGAGTTGGTTAATGCAACTTTACCGCCGTCCGTAGATTTCACGTTTGCGTCACTAAATACTGCATTTGAATGAACCATTACGTCCTCAATAATATGCGGAGATGAAATGTCTATGTCATCTTTCGCCGCTAGATTATTTTCTTTTTTCATTTTTGAAATTTGTGACATCAAACGGTGAGCGGCGGTGGCTCTTGCCGTTTTAGTTGGACCCACTGCCGGCACATTTTGTTGATTTTGTGCAGGCGTGTTTGGCATTGACACTGTCTCTTCCCCAATGTTAGATGTTTCAGTAATTGGTTGGAGATCTGGTCTTACTGCAAGTGTAGGTCTTTCGCGCGTCCTGTTTGTCGGACTACAAACTCGTGATCTAATATTTCGGTTATCTGCAACTTCGGTCTCACCAAATATCATGTTGGGAAGACATGTCAGCATTGTCATTTCGTTCAGGTATTTGGTGTCAGTATCTTGTCTATCAGGAAAGCAATTCTTTAAGCCAACTTCTTCCGCGCTTCCATAGCATGAGGAATCCACCCCACGAGATGTCTGTGCGGTCGAATTTGACGAGGTAACACCACTATCAGTTGAATCACTGTCTGCGGAATCTGTAGATTCGTTGACAGGTCGTCTGGCACGTCTTTTACGTTTTCCATTTTCTAAACAATGAATTGCTTGCATTCAACATTGATTTCAATTTAGACTTCAAAGTATTCTATTCTACACAGATAAAAATGCAGAATCGCCAATGATATGTGTAAATGACTGTCCATGCACTGAACCGTTAGAAGGTGTTACAGAATTTTGAAAAAATTCATGGAAATTACGATATTTACGATCAACGGCAGATCTGACGTCATCAAAAGTGTTTCAGAATTTTCGAAATCACTAGCATATTGTAAACACTCTGAACTGAGCGAAGATTTCACAATATACTATGCATGTTTTCATTCCAATAAAAAAGCACGAATTAAAGTCCATAAATTATTTTCTATTGAGAACCGTCCGTTACAAAATTGAATTATGATGAAAATGGTAACGTTTGGTGTTTTTGTTCGATAGAAAAATAACTGTGTTGCTGTATCTATGCCACGTGCCACAATATTATTATTCCTATACATTGAACTTGGGAAATGCATTTCTACTTATAAATCGTCACTTTTCAAGTCGCTCCCACAAGTAACTTTTGCTGGGCGTAGCGAAATCCTAAATTTCCATCGACTTCATAATTTATCTCTCATATATATAGGTTGTCATGGAAGAGTAAACAAAAAAGCAAATAATGACGTATAGATAGTTTGAATGATGCAAATGAAACTCATAACGACAATGACTCATGTACATGAACAATTATATCTCTACGGTGAGAAACTATGAAGATTTAATCGATCGGTACCACCAATTAAGTTCGTGGTATCCGTTTTAATGCACTCCATTACTTAATCAGGGTACTTGTATTCAGCACCAGCTGTTCAAAACTTTTGATTTGAATTGGTCGATCCATCATATACAAGTATCTATCGATGATAAGTATGTCGCACCATAACGCGGATGTACATATTTTTACTCAATATATTTTTATATTTGAACATTGGGGTCATATAATCATCTGTTTCTTTTTGAGCGTCATCTATTCATGTGGAGTACTTGACACAAAATTTATTTTTAGTGGTCAAAATATGTTTTGTATCTATGATCTATATTCTCCTATTCTAAGAAGAGAACATCCACCATCTACCGCGATAAATGGGATGGGCATCACTTTATAACAAATCAATAAATATATTAAGAACTGCTCAATTTAATTTATTACGGAACTATAAAAGCGTTGATTACAATATTTTTCAATCTAAATGGATTTCCATTCATCAAATCATATTTAAACGCAGTAAAATGCTGCCAGGCTGTCAGGTCATACCTTGAAATCCAATAATCAACGATGTACACGATAGATATTAAACTTTTAAATTAACATAATACCAAAGTTGATTCCATGAACATTCTTCCTATTTTTTCTCCGCATCATTTATTATTTAGAATATCGTAAGTGTGAAAAAACTAATGATGTCTACCAAAATTTGTTTCGCTAGCCAAAGAAAATATTTTATATTAACATAAAAATATTTTTTTTATAAATTAAAAACTCACTTTATGAATATTTCCAACAAATTTACAAACATATAAATGAGGTCAAATTAATCAAATATCAATCTATAATATATTGACATTGACTGTACTATTATATATATTGAATGAAAAAGTCTACATTTGCATAGTTGCGCAATTAGTAATAATAAAATCACGCAAAAATGCAATCAACTTCCAAAAAAGTATTCTTTTTTACAGACAATTAAAAAGAATAAAAAAATCATCATCGGATCTCATACAACCAATCATGCTTCTCAGATCCTTGAACAATCACCGGATATATAGAATCCATGCTTGGCCGCACATGATCCGAAAATGAATTTAAATGGATATGAGGATGTTATAGATGATGGCACTGTATGAAGAAAAGATAAATAAAAAAGAGCGCCCGAAAAGTAGCGGTATATTCGGACAAAAGCCTAAACAATCAAAACGTTTGACGCAGTTTCAAAATATTTATAATTTTTGTATGTTAGTAAATTTAAATTAAAGTAAGTTGGTTTTTCTGATATACAGTAGTCGCTTACATCTCTCACGGGTGAGGGTATAAAGGTCTTTTTCATAACCAGCATGACGTAAAATATATGTAAAGTATTAAGACAGCCATGAATTTTTTAATTAGTCATGGCCAATGTTCCCTCTGATTTTTTGTAGTATGTGTGCGCAGAAATTTTGGTGTGTGCGCCCTATTTTGGAAATGACTAATATTAGTGCAAAAACCAATGAAGAAATTTTGGCGTTCTAACCGGGTAATAAGTGGGCCAACAACAAACTTTCTCAACCTGCCAACCGAGCACATTGTTACATTACATCGAAATACATCTGTGCGCAGTAAATCTATGCGTGTGCGCAGCCTCTGAAAGCTGCGTGCGCGCGCACACCTTAGAGGGAACACTGGTCATGGCGCTTTATAAGGCCATGTACTCTATATACCAGTATTGTCCAATAGTTTATGTCAAGTTTTAGGTGCTCATATCGCATTTGAGCATCTTTTGGCAAAATGTCCCGTTCACAATAATTGGAGATGAAAATGTGGGCATGTATGACAGGTTATAATGTAATCATTGTCATGATTCACGTTAAATAAGATGAAGCATGATTGGATGATTATGACGCAATGATGATGGATTTCATCTAAGGTTTCCACGACATAATACCTGACAACAGTTTGTTTTTCTTTTTCGTTTTTTCATGTTCTTTGTCGTCCAGATTTTGGCTCTGTGGTGGCTCAGTTTCCTGAGCATCTTTCAATAAATCCATTGTTGGCTGTACTTTCGTCGTTGACTTGTTGTTACATTTAAGATAAGCAACCAAACATAGTACAGTTAAAACTAAAACAATTCCAATGATTATCCCAGCTAAACTAATCGGGCTCAAGACGGCTTCAGACGAAGCAGAAGCCATGCTGTCGAGTTCATCATTTGTAGTATTAGTTTCAGCATTAGAAGTCGTCGAGAAAAAAATTGATAGAGTAGCATTTCCATGCGTAGTGGTCGAGAAAATTGCATCTGTGATAGATATGTAAGAGTATTTATTTTCACTCACTTATTTTCTCTCCAATTTAGATTTAACCAACTTCGATGAAACAGTTAAGTATTCAATAAGTTTCATGTATGGGCCATCCATATATTTTAGATAAAACTGAAGGAAACTCAGTCATAGGACGTTTGTTTTAATTTCATTTTTAGTAATTATGGAATACTTAACAATATGGAAGTTTTACGTCTTATGGAAATCCCTTCTCTCCGTGGATCAGTCAGTGTTTGTTTAACATATAATTGGAATCAGTGAATCTTTTTTTCTGTTTGATGCATTGAAAAGAAATCTTTCCTCTTGTAAGAAATTGAACAATGACTAGAATGAAAATGTACCTTCCATAGAAGTTGGTTCAGTGGTCGTTATTAATGTTTCTGGATTATTGCCATCCTCCTTAGCTGCATTATCTGTATCTTTTGGTGCCTCTGATTCGTTTTCAATATAATAATATAATAAATAAGTATTCAATAAGTTTCATGTATGGGCCATCCGTATATTTTAGATAAAACTGAAGAAAAATCAGTCATAGGACGTTTGTTTTAATTTCATTTTTAGTAATTATGGAATACTTAACAATATGGAAGTTTTTACGTCTTATGGAAATCCCTTCTCTCCGTGTATCAGTCAGTGTTTGTTTAACATATAGTTGGAATCAGTGAATCTTTTTTTCTGTTTGATGCATTGAAAAGTAACCTTTCCTCTTGTAAGAAATTGAACAATGATTAGAATGTAAACGTTACAAGTGGAATGTACCTTCCATAGAAGTTGGTTCAGTGGTCGTTACTAATGTTTCTGGATTGTTGCCATCCTCCTTAGCTGCATTATCTGTATCTTTTGGTGCCTCTGATTCGTTTTCCGCTTTGTTGGTCTTTTGATCTTCTGAACTGGACTCTGTTGGGCTCATTGTCGGAGTCGCAACAGTTGTTTCTGGCTTTGCAGCTTCTGTTTCCAACGTCTCTGGTGCTGAGGTTTCGATGGAAGGTATTGTTGTTGTCATGATTGTGGTAGTTGCTTGTGTCGTTGCTAATGGTTGTGTTGTTATCTCTGGAGTCGTTTCTTCAGCCACTTTTGTTGCAGGTTGGGTAGTCGGCGGTGCTGAACAGTATTATGTATATATATATATAATAAAATTTTAATGATAAATAGACAGGATATGAAATTGGAGCAGTGATAAAAGAAATAAAACATAGCCGAGAAATCCTCCAAAATTTAAGAAAACTAATATGAATTTCCATATGATATTTCTACTTCTTTATTTCTGATACACCATAGTAAATAAAAAAAAACTTTATCGCTAGCCAATCTTCTCCAAACCGAGTATGCATGTCCACATTCTTGATAAAAATTCAGTATGAATAGTTTTAATTATATACAGAGAAAGACAGAATAATTACCGTGTCAGCGATTAAGAAGCTAAGCCACAGAAAATGTATATAACGCATTGATCAACCAAAGATGAACAATTTCGTTTGCACTCACGTATTTCACAATTTACACCAGTATATCCAGGATAGCAAATACATTTATAATATCCGACAAAATCTTCGCATACCCCCATGTTTTGGCAAGGTCCAGATTCACACTCGTCAAGCTCTGAAAATGATTTTCTTATATTATGGAAAAAAGCTGTTTTTGCGTAACAATCGTATATATTAAGCATTCTGTGTGCTCGTACCCTGACCACAATTCCATCCCGTAAAGCCTTGAACACATTTGCAATCAAATGAATTTGCTCCATCAATGCACGTTCCATTGTTTTTACAAGGCTGTCCTTGGCATTCGTCAATATCTAAAATATACAAAAATTGCAAATTAATTGGAAAGTGAGAGTTTTGTATACACTCCATACATGCTGATGGTAGAGGTTTTTACATCTTAAGCGTGTTTATATTTTGAGTCTCTTATACAGAGACGCGAATTATTGTATTGACTATAGCTACAACGCCAGATATTGCTAAAATGTATATGGTAAATGTATATGCAATATTCGTGAATATCAAATCATTATTTGATAAAATATTCAATATTGGTCAATTAGAATGCGCTCATGAGTCCAAGTTATAAGCTAGCCAACTTATATTGAACCTTACCAACTCCACATAATTCTCCTAGAAAACCTTGAGGGCATTCGCAACTAAATTCATCAACTCCGTCAATGCATGTTCCGCCATTTTCACAGGGAGACGAAGCGCATTCATCTATGTCTGAAGATAAGAAAAAGAAGATTCGATTTAAAAAGTAATGGTAACTGCTAGATAGTTTACCAGAAGTATATTTGAGTCGTCAGAGGTCGCTTGGGACTTTTGTATCAGCACTCGTACTTCTTCTAGCTGAGTTTATCCTCTCGTTCGACTTGGCCATGAGTAAACTTGCATATATTCGTATTATTGTTTCGTATTATAAAATTTGCATAGACTTTAATTCAAAGTTCATATTATACATGATATATCCATGATTATATATTGCAACGGAGAGTTACAAAATGTCGACGGTATAATATAATTGACCAGTACATCACACTTGAAAACAGTTATTATGACTGTAAACCCCAGACATATCGATCTGGTAACGATCACTAATTGGATAGCATATCACTCGCGATGACTTCCAATATTGTAGTTGCTGCATGACGATATCAATGGTAGCAATCAAGAGCCCTTCCTTGTTTTGAACGACAAACGAAACGCATAATTTACTTATTTCGCAATATGTTCCAGTAAATCCATCAGCGCAAAAGCAATAGATCTCTCCCTCTTCTACATCAATGCAATCTCCACCGTTTTTACACGGATCTTCTGCGCACGACGTTGGCGGAGGGGGAGTCAGTGCTTCTGTCTCGGGCTCTGGCGTTGTTGGAGCTTCGTTGATGGGAGCCTCAGTTGTCGGCGGAGCTTCCGTAGGCTTAGGGGTAACTGGAAAATAATAATACATTATATTAATTTGCCTTATTGCAACCTCAAACCGGCATTGAATATTGAAAAAGACAATGATGGAACATAAAACTCACTCCTATATTTCATTGAAAATCCACGAAAACTATCTTCTGCATCAGAAACCATTTTTAATTTAACTTCTCCTTTTACTGATAAAACTCCCTTAGGACTGATTTTTTGTACTCCTTCGCCGCAAAACCTGTAATGAAACAATGCTTGTTACTCAGCTGATGTAGACTCCAGTATTTTATATCGGGTTAATAGTCGGTTTGTGTGACATATTGTACATAGCAAACTGACTCTTCTGCGCCTTTTTATGTTTATTGGAATATATTATGTACGTAGACTAATAGGTGCTCAATATTCTTGTTTAACACAAACAAAAATATTTCACTGAAGCTGTACATAATGTCAAGTGTTATCGTTAAGACATTGAATCATAATCTGAATTACGAGGTGGTATATAATAAACTGAAATAATTGCCCGACGGCATTCCTACTCCCTTAGTGGCGCTTTAAAAAATTTTTTATGTATATTCCTATTATTCTCTGGTCAAATTCATTGTTTTGGTCATTTTTAAGTTGGTTTATTGCGGGTAAATATTGATAAATTCTTACTTTGGGGAATATCCCATAGCAAATATTTGCAATGAATCGTATCGACATTGAGGAGATTCTTCTATATAAAAATCAGTGAATAATAAATCAACTTCATCTTCTGCACCGGCCTAAAATTACATTATGCGACATAAATAACAGAAAAACTTGAAACTACAATTTATGTCTACCCAACTGTCATTTGACATCGTAACAAAAAAAAACATTTAAAAGGGCTATTACGCATTAACAGCTTAGGATTTTAAATTTTTTCTTGATGCTGTTGTTTGTCAATTAAAAACCAGCCTTAGCAGATGGAAGAACTATACATATTGCAGTTTTGAATACTGAACTTTCTACCTAACTCCTACCTAAGCAGTATCGTACTAAGTGGGTGATATATGGACATAGGCTGCACAGCGAGCCGTATAAAATAAAATTTCAGAATCGTCATGATTCAATCGACGGCGTGTTGTTTCAAAGAAAGTGTGTAACTTTTTATTTGTTATTTTACACGATCATTGCCGATCAAACCTTAAATGTCCAATCACATTGATAGTTATTCGGATATTCGTTAGGATATCCGTGACTCTCAAGATCTCCTTGTCCTGTTAGAATTGATCCGCATTCTTCTGTGGCACCTCGCACAATATTAGCTGCAACAGAAAAGCGGGGAGTGGAGAATTCTGATACTCTCGTACCACAAGAAAGTACAAATTAGGCAAACTCATTTGTTTCATATATGTTCTCTCGATAACATAATATCAATTAATTATTAAACAACTTGCCGTTGTTCCAAAGATAAAGAAAATTGCATTATAAATAACAATTTCATGGAATTTCTCACCTTCATACAGCAGCAGTATAGTTAGTGTCCAGATATGATGAATATCCATCGTCATTCTACATTTGCTAACATTATTGCAAATTTTATGATACAGCTTCGTTGGAGGAAAAATTATAATAACAAACAAACATGAAAAAATATTTCACCACTTTTAGCAACAGCTGGTAGAAGTAGTCAGACACGGCACAAATGCCGCCTATGGCTTAAAAACATGCGGATTTGCTCTCAGCAAAATTATAAAACGAATCTCTCGGCAATATCCAGACTTTTAACCCATTGCTGATACAAATAGCTGTTGTATCTATTACGGATTGCGATAGAGAGTGCGTTTGTAACAACTTGACCGAGCTTTCGAGTGCATATCTCAAAAATGTAAATGTTCGCGTATACAACAAATAATATTCATTATCGATTTGTCGTAGGCCATTATTTTCTGAAGTATATATTTGATTTATTAAAAGATTTACTATGAACATTGGTGTATTGCAACACAGGTTATTTCAAGATCTAATACTCCGATATAGGCAAATATTTGTATATCTAAGCACGTTCAACTAAGACAAGCTATTTGGTGGTGAGGGCGTTTTTATTTATAGACAGAACAATCCCTATTGTTATAAAATTATAAAATATATAACTTACCTTTCAAATTTATACCAAAAGATTTATACACATTTTGGGAAACTTAATCAAAACCTCAGACTTATAAATTGCACCCAATTAGAGTTTAACCAGCAATCGTCACTGGCGAAAAATTGCGTATATTCATAGATATCAAAAATTTAGACACCGTGCCGAATTAAACTTGATGTACAAAATGTATTTATGTATATATTTTTAACTGAAAGCTATTCTGTAATGACATGCGACTTTGGTGTATATTAGCCGGTTAGTATCTAAAGCTTTACTGCCCTTTTCTGTCTGAAGTTCGCACACACATATATAAAAATAAAATATTACACATTCTTATTTGTATTCTAAGACAGAATAACCGCGCTATACATACGAAACATTAAAATAAATAGGTAGTTCATCGCAGACCAAAATATCACCATAGAAAAATGGATACATTATAATCAAGTGTGAATTATAATCGATAATTTTGACTTTGTGGTAAAGCGAATCATCCCACTTGAAGTTTCTTTTAAATTATCTCGCAGCGACATCTATCTAGTCTAGAATCTAGATTGTTTAAAATATAACATTGCTGAAGAGAGAGAGGAAGAGTTTTTTCCGTCAAACCAAGAAAACAACATATACATACATATATAAAATAAACAGATGTTTTCAGTACATGACTGGGAGGCAACGATACGACCTTTAGGGGTCATCAGAGTCAATTGCCACCCAATTTGATTAAATAAGCATAATTATAACAGGTTCGGCGTCAATATATCAATATCTCTCATGTTTGTTTCGCCATTCGCCATCCTCAACAACTTATGTAGCGAAGTTATTTTACACACGTAGCATATCTGGGAATACGACGTTACACAACCGATGAATCAATTTTTGGGGCATTCCTGTTTTTGGTTTACATCAATAATTCTAACAATTATTTTTTCCTGAAGTTATCAGGTATGATAGTGATTGTTAATGTTTGATAATTTGTACATTTGACTTGAGTTTATTAGCAAATGAAAGCTTCGTTAATATATATAAAGAAATAGCATTTACTGAACAAATTATCATTCAATTTTTATATGGCAAACTTTATTATATTTCGTAGAATGAGACAAATTCTTAATATAAAGATACTCCTAAGAGACGAGAATTTCAGGGACGTTTTTTTGCAACTGTATCAGCTCAATATATATATATATATTAGCGTCTTCAATATATATAAATGATTACTTTAATGAGAAATTTCTCATGTTGAAGTTTCATGTCGAATGTTTAAATCTTATTTATTGTTTTGGCTACTCAAATTTTTGCACTATTGCCGAATGGCGATCGGTGACAAAACAAGAGAGTAACGCCCAAATATATGGACACGTAGTATAACGGCTCAGCACCATACGATGGCGATGTGCTCGTTAGGGTGATTGGAATAAATATATCGTACAGGCACTTTATTTTTGATGACGCGGTACTGTCTGAGTTCCTTTCAAAGTTCGAAATGATTATCCAGAGATGTTTATTGTTGAGTCAAAATAGTAGTCAAATAATGATGAAATAGTTGTCAAACAGTAATCCGGTAAAATACAGTGCTATTACACAGGAGGGACCAATAATAACTATACGAAACAGGAAAATAGAATTATATGATGTAAATTTAAACTATGCCTAATTAATAATACCAAAAGCCAATACCAATACTAAAAAAAGGTTCCTCCAACACCAAAATGGTCAGGGTCCAATGCCCTAAGTTACCGTTGCCAGTTTAGTTACAATAATAGCGGTCGCTGTTTAGAATCATTGCCGCTACACGTAAACGAGAGCGAATCAGTCCTTACAGGTACATTTGACGCTACCGGTACCCTCAAAAAGTTCCGGATTTCAAGTAGCAAGAATTTGCAGAATTAAAACGTACAATCAGTCATCACGCGGACTAAAATCCGTGTTCCCGTGGATAAAAATAATACAGCCAAATTTAGAAATAAATAAAAGTAAAAGCCTTCTGGAGAAAAATTCAATCTTCATTCTTCATCTACTGAAAATTTCAAAGCAATTGGTCGAGTAATCGAAGAGAGAAGCGTCTTTTTATTAACTATGTCAAATAACAAGAACAACAACAACAAGAGAGCTATGCTGAAATATATGGCCACGTAGCGCCATATAATTTTGAGGATGTCATGGCAAAAAATAAAAGCAGCCTAATAGCTTTCTGGAGAAAAATTCCATCTTTGATCACTGAAAATTTCAAAGCAATTGATCCAGTAATCAAAGAGACAAGCGATTTCTTCAAAACGTGTCAAAGAACAACATGAGATAGCGATCAGAGACCGCCGACTTATCGATCTTCCGCATCACAAATTAATAACTCGCTAAGTATACGACATAATTTATTCAAAATCAATAGACTTCTGGTCCGAGATATGATGAATGTGCGTACAAAATTTGAAGTAGGTTCAATCTCGCTTTCGTGAGATATCGCGTAACATACAAAAGTGTCTAACAGACAAACAGGCAAATACCTATCAACATACTCACCGATCGAGATCGATAAGTAATAACAACAAAACGTTCGTTATGTCCACTAGGTGTCCAAAAATACCAAAACGATTGTTAGTCCACTACGTGTCCAATAATATAAAACCTATCAAAGAAATCATTATAAACCTATTGAAATATTCGGTACTAAATTAGGAAAAGTTAAATTAATTTGTGGTAAGATTAGATAAATGACCGTGTTCTAGAGCAGGGGTTCCCAAACCAGGGGTCGCGACCACAAATTGGGTCGGAGTGATAGGTAGGTAGGGTCGCAAACAGGTCGTGGGGTAGGTGGGGTCGCTGAAGTATGGTAGAGGATGGATGTACAAAACATCTAAGATTCGACAAACCATGTTAAATTTAGCAGTTTGTACCATGGCTCACTCTAAAACAGGCCCATAGGCATCGCTTTATGCTTATGTTATAGAAAGGGTTGCCATCTACCCAGAGCCAAAAATAAGCACGGGCGTCAAAATGTTATTTTAACAACGGCAGAAACGCAGAATAAAAATGAGAAGGAGATCATACACGAGTCTCCCAATTTTTATCATTAGAAGTCGCCTCGAACACGGTTTTATGCGACCACTATAATATAAAATATCTATGGAAAGACACGGAGTCACTGCCACACGCAATCCCTAAAGGGCAGGAGTCGGCAACCTTTTGTCGCTCGCCGGCCAAAATCGAGTGTAACAAATTTCGGCGGGCTGCACATACTTTTTCATGAAAGTTAAAAACTGAACGGGTGGCTGATGAACCACATCATTTATACAGATCAGAAATTGAAGTTTTGGACTAAAGAGAGCGAACACTGCGACAACTCGTGGACTCAAGTCGTCTTATTATGCAAAATATTTACGAATACCATTTAAAGCACTGATTGCTGTTTTTTTCTTGCTCGATGTCGCAATAGCAGTAGTTATTAGCAAATTCCTTTCCATATTCGAAACAGAACTCATGGTTACGCTTACTCATTGTCGAAATTACGGTTTTTCCATAAAAACAGTAACCCTTAAAACTAGCAGCAACTATTGTGTGCGTCACAGTTTTCTTGGAAATACCGCAAACCCCACCGTTAACAGAAAAAGTTCGACCCTCATTCCCACGGAAGATTTGTAAGCAAAACAAGAACGAGTCATCCACGTTTCTAAGACAAAATGAGCACGCAACTTAAAAATTAACCATATTTCTTAGAAATAAGCACATCGTTACTTTACGCGAGCGAGAAAATAATCACGAGTCTTAGAAATAAGCACGATATAGAAACCCTGGCTATAGAAAATGTAGGTGCTTATTGTGACATCACTGTTTGGTTTTATCTTATTTTACCTAATACCACCCCATGACCAAAGCGTATATATAATACGGCCCGCAAACAAATTTTTCATGGCCCTCAATCGACCTCAGAAATAGCAGGGTGGCCATAATTCCGTGGCAATCTAAAGATAGAAACTGCGGCCGCGTGCTACCATCAATGTGCATATTTGTCCCAGTACTGGTGGTCCCAAGTTTGTCGACCACTGAACTAAACTCGCACGGCAAGTTAAAATCTCGGGTTCAAATCCTAGGTCCATCACCTCACCCAGGGTGTAATAATTAGGTAGGCAATGTCCAACAAGAAAAATTCTGCCCCGTCTTAACTGTGCTAGATTCGTATCCAGGAGTGACTGCTTGCGCTGAGCCTTGTTCAGAGCAAAAGTATGTCATATAAAAAGTGTTTATATTTTAAAACAAAATTTTATGTGGAACTTTCATTCAGTAAATGAGTTGTGAGTTTGAAAAGTTTAGAAACCTCGAGTTACCATCAAATACCACAAAACTCCAAAATTTTAATAGATTACGACTAACCAGAAGATGCGTTGTTCGTTTTCGTAGCTCCGAAACTAAACAACCCCGTAGTTTTTGGTTTCTCAGGTTCTGATTTATCAGGTTGTTCAGATGAGGGGGCCGCAAATGTAGTTTGCGCAAATGTTCACCCCAAATGTAGGTAACGACATTCCAGGCTTTCCTTCAGAAGACCCAAAAGTGGATGCAGATGCAGCAGCGGAAGCAGGAACTCCGAATTGAAATAAGGGATTTGATGAAGCAGGCGGCTCTGAAACCGAATAAAGATTTGCAACCTGTTATGGTCAAATTACAGAACCGGCAAGTATAAATTTGCATTAAAATCATCAAAACTTAGTCATTAGCAGCAAGCATTCCTAATTATAATTGAGGTTTCAATTAAAAAAAAAATTAACCCAATCGATTTGTTTAGAATATTATGAGAATTACCGTATATAATCGCATATATTATATTTGCCCATGACCAGACTCAAAAGTCCAGTGAAAGTAGGGATAATAAGGTATAAGTTTATTTCGACTCCATATTCACCATAACAATACATTTGTCAGATAAAAAAAAATAAATAGATAAAAACTGATTATGAAATCAGGGGAGCAAACCAAACCTTAGATAAGGTTTATAACGTACAAAATATAAGATGGAAGGTTATGCCAAGAGGAAGTGGTACGTGTTTACTCACCTAAAATTATTAAGTTATTGGACACGTTTAGTGGCCATAACGATCGTTTCAAAATTTTGTTGTTATTGTTATTTTCTTTCGCCATTATCAATAAAAAATCGCTTTTCTCTTCGAATACTGGACCAATTGCTTTGAAATTTTCAGTGGTTAAAGAGAAAATTTTTCTCCAGAAGGCTATTACTTTTTTTTCGCTATGACGTCATCAAAATTATTGCCATTGGGTGGTCCATATATTTGAGCATAGCTCTCTTGTTTCACACACGCTCACATGCACCCACCAGCCACACACACACACACACACACACACACACAACCACCGAAAAGTCATTTAATTAAGTAAGAATAGAACTCAACAAATTTAGGGTATACTATACAGTAAACAAAAAAATAAAAAACAAATACTAGAAAAGAAAAAAATTATTTGCCACACCATATTGATATTTTTGTAATGGTTGACAATGCCAAATTGATCGATCATCTAATCGTTAATTAAAATATAAAAGGAAGATTTTATTGAAAACATATTGCCAATCTAAAGCTCTAAAGTTTCATGAAAAATATATACCAGTATATTGATATTGGGTCACACTGGACGCTTAAAAGGTGTCTTTGGGGTCGTCCTGAAAAAAGCTTGGGAACCCCTGTTCTAGAATATTCGGTTACTTCGTAGCTGGTCTGGCTCTGGACTGGATATCACATATCAGTACGGTATCTTGTGGCTTCGTTTTTTGCTTTGTCATCTGATGCAGACTGACGCCTGTCTATACGCTATGTTGTTTGTTGTTGGTCGATGCTCCCTGCTGTGATTTTCTGATATGGTTGTTGTGTCTATTCAGAGTTCAGTAGCTGTTTTGCGTATGTCGTTCAAATTTTAGTTCAGTCAGTCAGTAGTTATGGAATCTCTCCAATTGGTTATTGATATTGATGGAATGACATGCACGTCATGTTCTGATAGTATCCAGAATGCGATTGGAAAACTGCCTTGGATTGAGAGTATTCTGGTAAGTTTAACTACATAAATTTTTATTGTTGTTTTTATCATTTACAGATCTATGTGGGCATACGGTAGTCAACATACCGGTACGGTACCGGTCTTACTATACCGGTACTGGTCCTGTGCTTACAGTAGTACCATACCGGTATCGGTACTGCCATAGCCAGACAGCCTACTTAATTCTGTCTGTCAGTTTGTACAGACTTTCAGACTTTGGATGTGATTAAACACTCCAGAACTTAAAACCTTTGTGTTAACTGCTTACGGTACAGGCTATACTTTTGCTCTCTCTCTCTGAATGTATATTTACCATTGCCATTGTGCCATTAGGCATTACTAGAGTTTTGTCGCCCTCCGTTTGAGGGAGGTGATATTTTGGGTTATATTCTTTCATTCATCGGTTGTTTTTCTGGGCAAATTTGCGGTCAACTATAATTTTAAAAAGATGTTTTGAGGTATCTTGTTACATTATTATGAAGGTTCAATCCTTATTGGATGAGGTATTCGAAGTCCTGGACTATTGTTTGAGCGGTTGAGCATTCGCCATTCGCATACTGTTTTCCCCCAGACTTGGCACCATGTCAGCATGTACACCTACAGTATGGCACAGTTTTCCGATTACAAGAATAGCCGCCACATAAAAAGAAATATTTATAGGAGTGCGAAAGTGCACGACAGTCTGTCTCCATTTCAGCAAACCACTGCCACTGCACAATAAACCAAAAGAAAGCGCAATCTAAAAACGTCACTATTAGATTCCCTGGAAAAAAATAATCTCATTAACTGAAGGAAAAATATTTTTACCGTAGCAATTGTCAGTTTTAAGCAAAAAATGCAATTTCGGTCACATGCCAGCCAATGCACGCCGCAATTGATTTAAACTATTGCTAGATGCCCTCGTTTCAGAGTCAAATAGAGTTTTTGTTTTATTGAACCAAGTGTCGGGACATCTTAGAATCGGAGTACTGTGCCTTACTGACCTAGTACATCATGTACGGCAGTAGGGTATATTTCCAACTAACTATAGTGTCAAAATATATTACTCACTATGCCTGCAGTGTGTTTATATTACACGAGTTAGACGCCCGAATGATACACGTTCGTATTTTTCATCTTTTCTTTATACAGGCTTGTGTGTGAGATGGGTAAACTGGCACATGTATTTCTACATGTTTTAAACTTTATTAAACGTTTTGCCAATTTTCCTGACTTTGCCAAACTTTGTGTGTTTATTGTTTTTTGTATGTTTTTTTCCGGGGAAATCAAAATACTTATACTTATGAATTGTAGTGTTGGGGTTGCTAGTTCATATTTTATTGTGCTGAGATTCCAATTGGTTAGGGCATCCTAGAAGAAAATACATTGTGCATTTTATGCCTCAATATCTAAATTATAACCTATGTACAAACAAGTGTAACACTAATCTAACTCCTGGAGTGGTATAATAATTAAAATATGATAAAAGGTTGAGAGTGTTTATTTCTCACCTAAATAGAACACCATTCCATTGAGCTCCAGCAGTTTTTCCTGCCCAACTATTGTATGTCTATTATTCCCCTTTGAGATTGCCTACTATGTTTCTATTTTCTTTTAAACAATTTTTTATTGTTGGTTTTTATTGGAAATAAAAAATTTGGTCTATCTTTGTGAAGTGGGCTATATATATATGTATATATATATTAGTACTCTAAGCCAAGTTATCGTCTTGGTAAATACTAAAAAGATGTGACATTATAAACATGTCAAAAATGTATCTGGAGTATCTGTATAATTTGAAAAGTCCGAGTTTTCAACAAAAAGCTTCTGATTATGATTTATTTACAATATTGGTCACATTGAACTAATAAAACATTGCTGATAACTTGATTTATTTATAGTATGTCTTTATAATATAATATTAATCTCACTATAACAAGAACATGGTTTATGAAATCACATGCTTGATTCGTAGTCTGGATGACTGTCTATGATGTAATAATAAAATTGTTTTCTCTCTTACTTCTTGTTCTGTGGTGAGTGGTGACATTGCAAAATAGTAATAGTGGAATTTTAAACATGCTTTCTTGCTCCTCATTTGAATTTATATGAATCCTGAGTAAATATTAACGGGAACTTGTAATATTGAAAACTTTGCACATTCCATTGGTTATTTCTAGATAATGTGTGAATAACATACATAAAATATTTATCATAATACTAAAATCCATAGAAGGGCAAATTTTTGTAAACATAGTGATTATAATTTTTATTAAACACCCTTATGGAAAACTCTCTCAAACTTTTGTTATACTTTTGTTTATCTATTCCTATTGTTTAGCTAACTATGTGAGGAAAAATGGTAGTTATTACCGTTAACAATTGGATTTGAGTTCACAGATGGTTGTTATTATCTATTATTTATATCTACTAGAAGGGAGCATTGGTATAAAACCTCCAACTACTGATAGATTACTAGGGCATTAACAAATTAGGAAATGAGCTTTTTAAAAACTAGAACCAATGTATTTTTTTAATCATAAACTATGCAGGAAATCCATTATTAATTTTCTGGCGATAATTGGATGGGATTAATATTAATTCTGCCCGAACGTAATCATACTATAATAGTATCATTTATCTGTATTTCAAACTTGGATGTGCCATAATTTTTACCGGTATATAACATGTAACAGATGCATAATTTTTCCTGATTTGTTTTATAACTTGATTTCCTGCCTTTGCCCATTTATCTCTATTTACTCTAGTCAGAATTATATTGTCCAAACAAATAGGCAAATCTTGTCAGCAGTGCCCATTCTATTCTATAAATGTCTCCTACTTAGTTGCTTGTTAAATGTTTGGTTTGTTGAAATTGTTCTTTCTTGGCTGCATTTTTTTATTAATTTTACATACAGTAATTCTATTTGTTTAGAATATGTTCAGGATATAATACTATTTATAAGTATGATCATTGAGTTTTGATTTTTTTTTGTTTCAGTTTATTTAAAATGTTGTGAAAGTGTAAGTTGAGCAAAAGCACTTTCAAACTTTAACATTCCATTAATAAGAGTGCCTAGTATTGACAACAGAAATAGAAACTGAATTTATGAAAGCATAATAAGCAGAATAGGCTATTGAGGTACTGAGGTAGATATATCTCATGTCAATAATTCGTAATGATGCACAGGATTTATAGTAATTAAACATCAAAAATTCTCCAAGCTAATACATTTATGCATTTGAAAGCATGTCTGAATAGTGTGATATTTCTATTTATAAATTATATGTTATATGAATAAATAAAGCACTCTAATTTATGAAAAAGTTAGATTTGTCTATTAATATTCAGTTGTTTGATAAATGAATAGCACAGTTACAGTTCATTGAATTTCTTTGACTATTCCTAGTTTTCACGATAACTTTGTTTCAGATGAATTTACCTGTGATATCAACTATCTTTATACATGTTCAATACCACTTAGTAGCCTAGGATATTCATACATATTGTTTGTTGATTAGGCCAAATTATTGTATGACGGAAGGCAATGAAAGGAAGCTAATTTAATTGGGTACTTTTTTATATTGCAAACCTTAGTTGAGGAGGGAGAGTATCAGTGGTATTAGTGGTTAGTTGAAAGAAAGGTTTATGGAGTATTAAAATTGCTTAATTCAGTGTCAAGGACTTTTGATATTCACGTATATTTATGCTAAATAGTTACGTTAGGTTTTAAAACTTGTCCCTTGTAGTGACTGGCAGTGTCTAAATAAGATAGCCTGCGTCATCTCACATATTATGTAATGTTCAGAGAAATTGCTTACTTTGTTGCTTACTTATATATAGCACATACACATAGGTCGGGAGCCTAGATGACTTTAATCGGTCTTGCACACCGACCCGCACAAAGCAATAATCAATTACTGTGGAATATTTTCGGTATTGTATTATGTTTATATTAGTGTTGATTTTGTTTTTGGTGCAATAAAACCCTCTCTGTTACGATTAGTTTGTCGTATTTGAGAAAGCCTACCAGCAGTAACTTGACCATGTGATGGTTGGTCAATTTATATATAGCCTATATTTCGATATTTATTTATTATTTGGTGTGAATGATTTATGAAATAGTTTATGGTGATTACTGATTATGATGGTAAAACCCTTTGGTTTGTAACCCAATATTTTACCTCAATTTTCAGGTTTCACTAGAAGATAACAATGCAGTTGTAAAATTTGATTCGTCCAAACTGGAACTTGAGGAAATTATTGAAAATATCAACGATATGGGATTTGAAGCGAAGATGAGAGGTACGCAAAATAAAATTGAATAATTTGGAAGCTTTTTGTATTTCTGATCGGTGTAGCATTTTAGTATGGTATATTACGCCTAATATATTTGCAATGAGTCTGTGTTAATACAGTCTGACAAGCTTTGAACCACTTTAATTGTAGGGTATTTTGTAAGAGTTTTATAGACTTTTCTTTATAGAGGACCAATTGTTAACTTGAATGTATAGCAGGTTCCAGTTACCAACTACAGCTACTTTGGTATTTGATTTTGGCAGTTTTACAGCTCTGTTTCACAAGCTCAGTTTTGCCAGATTTTAATTAATAAATACGCATTGGACATTGGTGTGCAACAAGCAGCCCGCGAGCCACAACCTGACTCAACAAAGCATTTAGTGTGGCCCTTGTCAGCACTCGTTGTTTTGCACGGTGACTTTATTACAGGAAGGGTGAGCGCATTCTCCTCTCTCGCCTTTTCTGCAGTGTCGCTAATTTTTTAATTCACTGTGTACATGGAAAAACTAATTTTTTCTGTGTCGCCCAGCTAGATGTCTAAAGTTGGTTATATGGCCCAACAATAAAAAGTGTTGCACACCTGTGAACTAAGACAATCTATACTATATATTTCAGAATCTGGAAACCCAAGCAGTGAAATTGTGATTGATATTGAAGGGATGACATGTGATGCTTGTGTACATAATATACAATCTAATATTCAGAAATTACCTTATGTGAAAAATATTGAGGTATGTATATTTGTTGATATTGGAAGATTAATAAATTTGAATATTGACGTGAAACTGAATAAATCAAATCTTTTTAATTAAAAAATCATCCTTCAATTCCAAAAATGTTGTTATTTAAAATTATAAAGTAATATCATTTTCCATACATGCTATAGAGCATGAAGTATCACATTTCTCTGTATTTACTAAATAAGTATTACTGTATGCTTGGGTAATAATCTGTGCAAATATCACTAAAAAGTATGCTCCAATTTTGTATAATGTTGTATAATTATGGTACATGCACACAGGAATTTGCTTCATCAGCTACTTTTATGGGAAAAAATTATCATGTGAACTCTTGAAAAATCAACTCAAGACGTTATTTTGCATTTTTATGAATCTTAATCTCTTTCGTTTCAACCTTCAAATGTATTTTGTCAAGAAATTAGAATTTCAAACTGTGAAGGCCTTGAGCCATTTCCAATACCACATAATAAGACGACAACGCAAGGAATAAGAAATAGTGTAATGATAAGTTTTATACCCTGAGGCCTGTATTATATATAGGCTACATCTTTCGATCAATACCTTGTGATCATTTGTAATGAATGTTGATATCAAATATTTCTTCAACTGGCTTTTGTTTTTGTTCTTAGTTTTTGTTAAATTTATTTTCAATTACAAGCCTTGTAACCCCATTTAAGTGAAAAAAGAAAAAAATCATTGTGTATGTATTTGAATGTTTTTCAGACTAATAATTTGGTTTAGGCATAATTTAACTATCTCCATCTGAAAATTTGTCATTCTGAGTATTTGATGGGCAGAAATGGGCTTTCTTTAATAAGCTGGCAATGTGACTGAATAGAAAAAACATGTTGTTCAAACTAATGTAGAAGAAGAGTCGGGATATATAATTCTGCATTAATAAACTGACTTTTTATAATGATTTCTAGTTCATTTTTAATTTCTCTACTGAACATGAACCAATTTCAAACCTTTCCTATTCGAAAATGTTATTATTGATTGTGTAATTTATAAGAATTTGACAGTTTTAGTACCGCATGTTTGTATATGAGCATCACAGGAAAAGCGTTACATTAGCAAAAATCCATGCCCATTTCTGATTAACTTTATCGGAATTTACCTAATTCTCATTTCCTTTGCAATTGCAATTTTTATTGACAGCTGTTTCCTCTTCTCCTTCCTTTACCGCTTGTTAATTTTTTTCCTGTTTCTCATGCTAAGTTTGCAGCAAATAAAAAATTCTTTTTTTTTTATTATATGACAAAAAAAATTATGGGATACTAAATATGTAACAGAGCATGTCTTATTGCATAATATCTAGAAGGCAGATCGGTTTGGCAATTGTAACAAATTCTATAATCAATATCATACAAGCACTGATGTTATATATCACAATATTTATTCGATTAAACTATTCATTCAGGTATCATTACAAAATAAGCAAGGAACAGTCAGTTTTAACCCAGGGATGTCAGATCACGCAAACGAAGTCATTGAAGCTATAAATGATATGGGGTTCGAAGCCACAATCAGTGTATCTGGTCCACGTAAACGTACAACGACTGTGCATGTAAACATTGAAGGAATGACTTGCAATTCATGTGTTGAAACAATAGAACAACAACTGGGATCGTACACAGGAGTTCATTCGATTAAGGTAATTTCCAAAGATGCTAGCATATGTTGTAAAATTAAGTTTCAATTTTAGTTTTAATTAAAATTTAGCTGTAGCGACTTGTTTGCGATCTTTGTTTGGAGTTGAAAGCATATTATTTAAATATAAAACAATGCTCTATGTGTTGTTCAATACCAATTCATTATTAGGTACTCCTGAAGTATGCGCACCAAGATGTCACATAACCTGAACCCTAACCTGGTAAACAACTTCAGGAGGTCCCATTATTATTATTAAAACGAGCGCAATGGATGAATGTCTGGCAAAAAACAAAGTACAGGGAGTCCTTGACTTACGACGCAGTTCCGTTCCTGAGACTCTGTGTAACCCGAATTTCAGTGTAAGTCGGAACATTATACTGTACAGTGGTACAGTGCATGAATTACTCTATACACATCATACTGTATTTTTAAGTATGGTACTCTACACTAATAAAATGTACAAATAATGCAAATAAAAACTTTATTAGAAAAACAGAAAACAATTCCACATCACGTGAATAAAAGCAAACACAGTACAGTATCTTAACATCTTTTTTTTTGCTTTGAGTCCATAACAAAGGGCAAAAGTAAAAAAAAAACGATCAAACAAGTTACGAAAAAACCGGCTTAAACAACCAAAATGACGTACAGTACTGTACTGTACCATGTGACTGAAGCTTAGTGATTATTCGTTCATAATCGTAATAGTTCGCAATTGGTCACGTCATTTACGATGTAAATAACGAAAACCAATGAGCCCAAAGCACTGATTTTCTTGATCACAATGATCCGGTTTATAGGCTTAGATATTACAGTACAGTATTATCTTTTATATCTGTATATGTTCGTAAAGTGCGTTCGTAACCTCGAAACAGCGTTATGGAGTGCGCGTTTGTAACCTCGAAACATCGTAAGTGGCGACCGTCGTAACCCGAGGACTCCTGTACCTATTTTTTTAATATTTTATGAGGTTAGCTCGACATTATTGGATTCATTTATAGATACATTTTATCTATAACATAGTCTGATTTTTTTACGACCATTACTGATTTTTAGAACTAGAAAATCTGAAGAGAATTTTTGTGATTAGGTGCATGATATCATGTTGTCATGTTTACTTAGCTTTAAGCTAAACTATATTTGCTTTGACAACAAATCTCATCTATTGATTTTAAGGTTTTGCTCAACGAGAAAAAGGGCATAATCGAATATAATCCAGAGTTGATTACATTAGATCAAATGCTAGATGCAATAGAAGACATGGGTTTCGAAGTGTCAAGAAAATTCAACTATGAATCAAACATTGTGGATGAAGATACAAACTCGTCTCTCATCCAATTCTCTCCCAAAGATTCATCGCCGTCTCATCAGGATCGTTTACTGATTACCAATGGAAATCTGAGCACAGATTCAGTTACTGTATTCATAGATATTGAAGGCATGCATTGTAAATCTTGTGTGAGAAAAATTGAAGACAACATGAAAGATGTGAATGGTATTGAACAGATTAACGTTTCACTCGAAAACAAAAATGCTGTCGTTGTTTTTGACAAAAAACTTCTCCAAGAAGATATAGTTGCCAGAAAAATAGCCAATTTGGGTTTCAAAACAACTACATCAAATGGCATCATATATACACAATCTGGAGAAAAAACTCAAAATGATGAGTCAGCAAAAAATTTGTATCCTGCCGTTTTGCCGATGAAAGAAGCTGATGATGCTTCCTCTGCAAAATCTGCAGCAGTGACATCTAAAATGAAAAAATATGGCGATAAAAGACAAATCGAATTTGAAATGGATGAACTCGAGCCAGCAAGAGAAAGTACGACAGTAAAAAGATGTTTCATTGGAATCAAAGGAATGACTTGCGCATCGTGCGTCAATAATATAGAGAGAAATATAGGTTTGTAATATTATTCGAATATATTTTAATATTATCAGCTATTTAATAAGAAGAGCATAGGCTACCTCTTCCTGTAGGATATAAAGTATATTTGTTCGATTTCATAATACAGTGATTTCGTAACATCACGGTTCGCAACTGACATCGGTTGGTTTGATTGCACAAAGTTTTGTTTGCGACAGGCGTGCTTAGCAGGTGTCCTTTGTTACCGATGAATTCGCTTGTTTTAAACAAGGGTTTAAACCAGTGTTTCTCAAACTGTGTGCCGCGGCACACCAGTGTGCCGTGAGAGATTCTCAGGAGTGCCGCAGAGCTTTTTGGAATTTAAAAAAATACTCTTTTCATATTACACATAGGCATGCATGCAACGGGGAAGTCTTGAGTGCGCATTATTCATTTTTAGACTGATAACATCATTGCATTTGACTTGTCATTGTAGTAAGGGTAATTGTCACGCTATAATTGTACTGTTATGTTATAACGTATATTCAAACAAGATGTCCATGTTTCACCATGTTGACTTGCGCGCCTAGTTGGGCTAACAGGAAAGCAAGTTTGTACGAGTTTTGACTGTGCTAAATTCATCGAAGTAATCTGGCAATTTGCATCTCCATGGCTCTGTGAAAACGGGTTTTTTGCTCTGGCTGAAATTAAAAGCAAAAAAGGGAGTGATGGAACCTCGTTTCAATTGTTTCTCAAAACAGGCACACACATCGAATCAACTTTTGCAGAATAAATTTGTTTAAAGCTAACTTTATTTTTTACAAGTGTGCCGTAAATTTTTTTTTATTTGCTCAGTGCGCCGCGAGCAAAAAAAGTTTGGGAACCACTGGTTTAAACGAAACTCGGTTAACAGAAAGGCACCTCTTTAATTCGCAATATTAAAGAAACGCTTTTCGAGTATCTACGCTGTTTGAAAAGAATTTAAGCAGAAACTAGGGCACCTAACTTGCTAAAATCGGCAAAAGCACTTTCGCACTTTTTTTTTCAACTGCGAAGCACTTTCGCACTCATAATTTAACACTGCTCCCCGGATTCATTGAGATATTGAAATCTCTAAGCCAAGATATAGAAGTGATTGACTTTTTGATACTTTGTACACAAAATGTATGAGTTTGATTAAGGAATTTGTTACAAGTGCCAAACCGATTTGCTTTCTAAATATTATGCAATAAGGCATGCTCTGTTACATATTTAGTATCCCGTAGTTTTTCATTTTGCATACTGGTAATTGATCGTGCTATCAGATGAAATCTTTAATTATGAATGTTGAATTTCTGAATTGGTGAGGTAACTATTTTGATGAGGTATATGGACATCTATCCTTCGAAATTTATAAAATTCCTGTTTTTTTTTTTTGTGAATTTGGTAATCCTCAAAGAGAATAAATTTACTCTCTATGAAGATATTCAAATTTATCAAATTCAAGTTGTCACTTGTCATCTCATTTTAAATATCAAAATCAAATCCAGGTCGAGAGGAAGGTGTTGTGAGCATTCTTGTTGGATTGATGTCTGGAAAAGCGGAAGTGAAGTATTTAGAAGATGTTATTGTACCGGAAAAAATTGCATCCCTCGTTACTGACCTTGGCTTTCCATCTGGTGTGATTGCAGAAGATCTACATAGAGATGGTCATGTGGAAATTAATGTGAGAGAATTTGTCATCTGTATTTATCTCTGTATTTTTATCAATTTTAAAATATTTGTGTATGTATAGCAGTTTTATTTACCGTTCAGAACTCGTTTTCAACTTTGAATTCTGTATATTTTTGCATTAAATTTGAAATTTTTTCATGCAGAACAAATTTGGATATAGCCTAATTTCTTGTATAAATTTAGTGGATTGTTCAACGTTCAAATTTTCTGAATTGATTGATTTTATGTTTTACTGCAGTAGAGTAAAAAAACAATAGTTTTTGTATTTTAAATATTCATCCATCGTATTATATGGAAATTTGGATATCACAAACAAGCTTTCAGACATGAATATTTATTGATTAGTTTATGCTTGTACAACATATGAGTTGGACATTCTATAATTCGAGCTGCTTTTTATTTGTTTGATAAGTAAGGTGCTACTGTTTTCAAAAGTACTTGAATCTTATCTGTTGAGCATTTATGAACTTGTAGCAATCATAGCATTAGTCAAATTTCTCTCTGCCTATCAATACCCACTCAAATAGATAGAATTTTTTTGTCGCATTGGTATTGATTTAGAAAATAAGTCAAGTTTTCCACTCAGTCTTTTTTGTCAATTTGTTACTATTCATTTCGTAGTTGATTTTGACCTTTGTTGGCTGTTCTCCCCTTGTTTGCCTGCTTTTGTAATCTTTCTCTGTTTGTTGATACCCAATATTTAAATTAGTTGTGTCATTCAATATTTACTGTACTTTTGAACTTAAATTCAGAAAAACTTCAGATCAAGAATGGCTAGGAATTAAACAGTTCATCCCATATTGAATATTTTTGAATCTTTAATTTTTAATATATTTTTCATTGAGCTAATTTTAGGAATTCTACTTCAAAAAACTGGGCATGTGTCTGATTTAGATTACCGTGAAATGATACTTGATAGCATCTAATACTTCATCTTCTACTATTAAACAGGTTTCTGGGATGACTTGTTCGTCGTGTGTTCATAAAATAGAGAGTTCTTTGAATTCAATGGATGGAGTCAAATATGCTTCAGTTGCTCTTGGTACTGCGACCTGTGTTGTCAAATATGATCCAAATGACGTCGGAATTCGGGATATTCTAGAAAATATAAAGGTAGGAAATTTCAAGCAAACTAATTTTATTTCGAAATTTGAAATGTGTCTAGTACTCCTGTTTTTGGCTTCTTCACCAATGCAACCACCTTTTTGTATTGTTTCATACTGTATGTGGAAGTCTGTTAGGAGGTATAAATGTTCAATTGCTTTTTTGAGAAAGAATTTTAAACTGACGACAACATAGTTCAGTCTTGCTACTAGGCTATTGTGTCTACAAATTAATTTTATGCTAAAAACAATTTTATATTTTCGATTCATGTGTTCTAGCCTTAATGCTACTGGCAAATTTGGATTAGGTGAATCAATAAAGTCAAACGTTTTCTTGATATCTCATAAATATGCAAACGCAGCCCAAAACAACCTGCCATTCCATTAGATTATATCTTTTTCGATGTATTATCAAATGCCAAACTTCAAATTAATTGCCCACCAGTATTTTATATCATTCACGTTTTTTAGTAATATAGGAAACTAAAGTCTCTTTGTCTCTTTTATGAACCATCAAGCATGAGTTAGTGATCTCCATCTACATGCCATGCTTGGTAAAGTATTAGGCGTCATCATATTCATTTCAGGATATCGGGTTTGGAGCATCCATCCGCAATAGAGAAAACAAAATGGATTCACTGGATCATAAAAAAGAAATTAAACAATGGAGAAGAACTTTCCTATTATCTCTAATATTCGGAGTTCCAGTTATGGGATTCATGATTTATTACATGGCATCTGGAGCTCATAACAATCCAACGATTTTAGTACCAGGACTCAGTCTACATAACCTGATCATGTGGTTGTTGTGTACGCCTGTACAGGTATATAATGTGAATTATTGTACATATGTAAATTTATATATTTCAACTGTAACTAGCTGATGTTATCTATTTAAGTTCTTGAAAATTCTATTGACAGTTATCTACTCTTGCCATACTTAATGTGTGCTGCTCGTGTGTGGGCTAAATGACAAACCACTAAGTTAAGGAAAATTATTAACTCTGACTTTGAACAGAAAATTCAAATTTTCTGGCATCAAAAATCGATAAATTGTAGCCTTAATTTCTTAATAATTATTTTATATTATATTTTTCTAATTTCTTTTGGGCATCAATTTTTACTGGTAACGTTCCATAATATTACACTCATGGCCCATTAGTGAGAAAATAATATGTAAATCTGAAATCTAACTACTATAGTCAGAAAGTTTGGCGCTTCCTTGCCAAAAAATTTACATCGACTCTATATTTAAGTGTGAAGTCTGACTACTATAGGCGAAAACTTTGATGCTTTTTTTTCAAAAAATTTCCGTTAACTTCTGTATGTTACCAAGAAGAATTTTTGTCTCCATTTATATTAATTTTTTCACAATCAGGTTTTTGGAGGAAGATATTTCTACGTACAAGCATGGGCTGCTGTAAAGCATAGGACGGCTAATATGGATGTTTTGATCGTCATGACAACCGTGATTGCTTACGCCTACTCTGTCATTGTCGTTATTGTTGCAATGATACAAGCATCTCATGTAAGTATTACCGATTTTCTTGTTCATTTTTATCAAAATGTTAGGAAATTTACCTTCTATGTGTTCTTTCCTCTTAGTCAACACCAAAGACGTTTTTCGAAACTCCACCCATGCTGTTTTTGTTTATATCACTCGGACGATGGTTGGAACATATTGCAAAGGTATTGTGTTTTTGTTGATTTTTAACTCCTAAACTTAACTGGTCCTTTCATATAAAAGATTTCATAAACCTTGAGTTTGTTTGGGAGTATGAGCAGGTTATTTTCCAATTACCAACACAAGTATCTTATAAATCAAATATTCAGGAATGGAGCATAACATAATAAATTTTGTTTAGGATTAATTGTCAGAAAAGATCTTAATACAACCAAATACTATCAGTCAAATGTCAAAACAACATACACAATGCAAAATATGGTAGCACATTGAACAGAACACCATTGGTAGTAAACAATATGCATCAGCGTGAGAATGGCAAAACAGATTAGACGAAATAGCATATCCAAATAGACCTTTAGCAAGTCAAGTTTATTTTTCCCAACCAGTAAATAAAAACAATAGAACACAGAAAATATGGAACAAATGAAAATTGGGCTACATAGTTTTACAGGGGAAGAGAAGTCACAGGGAACCAAAGCTGGTTCTCGAGCAGCGACACCAAATCAAATATTCGACCCATTTTGTACATTTCTTCACATATTCATACATCGGGCGCTATTTTGGTGTTGATTTTTGTATATTTCAGAAAATTTGCATTCGATTTTTTTCCAGGGTAAAACTTCTGAAGCCCTAGCCAAACTCATTCAACTGCAAGCGACCGAAGCTACTTTGGTTAAATTTGCTGAGGATCAGACAACAATTCTAGAAGAAGAGGTCATTGACGTCAATCTTGTACATCGAGGAGATTTCTTGAGGGTTCGACCTGGAACGAAAATACCTGTTGATGGTAGAGTTGTGGAAGGAACATCGATGGTGGACGAGTCTTTAATTACAGGCAAGTAAAATTGTTGCTTAAAAATGGAAAATTTAGTTTTATATTAAATTTGAAAATAACTTGAAATCCAATTTATACTGCCAAAAAAATGAATTAAGTAATAAAATTAATGTAAATGATCTACGAAAAAAGGCAATGGGCTATAGTCTCTCCACAGTGAAAACATAACAAAGATCAACTGTGCAAGAGAGTACTTTTCTATATTCTTCGCGGCCAACACCCACATTGGGGATGTCCTTTTTTGCTTACAATTTTACTGCTTGCTTACAATTTTCGATGTACTCAAATGGGATAATTTACCCCGTAGTTTAAACACATTTTAAAATTATTTTCTGAAATCAATTTCTGTTTCAAAATATGATAAAATATTGCTTGAAACATATGTATGAAAACACTAGATTAGATCATTGATTTCTGAAAATCTAACTTTTCCCTTTTATTCAGGTGAATCAATGCCTGTTACCAAAAAGACTGGTTCTCCTGTAATTGGAGGTTCAATCAATCTAAATGGATCTTTACTCATGAAAGCAACACACGTTGGTTCAGATTCAGCATTGTCTCAAATCGTAAGACTTGTTGAAGAAGCACAAACTTCTAAAGCCCCTATTCAGCAGGTCTGTTATAGTAGCATTTATATTGTTTGCAAAAAGTCTACTCTTACTGAGGGCTGTGGAGCGGATTTGAAAGCTTTGGCACTCATGTTTTATTTTTTCATCCCTGTTCTTGGCTTTGGCTCCATGGCCATCGATGTTTTTGGGATGTATGAATGTCATGAACCATGATATACTGGTATTCATCTGAACTTGAAAAATATCACAACTCATTACTGTGTTATTGATTTCCGAATAATTTCTTTCCTCAGATTGCGGACAGAATTGCAGGATACTTTGTTCCTGGAGTTATTATCATCTCATTACTCACTTTCATTGTTTGGTTGTCTCTCGGACTCACTCACATTGAGATTATTCAAGATATTTTTTCAAGTCACAAGTAAGAAATTGTGTTTTTGTTTTTTAGGTATTATTTATAATTAGGTTCTGTTTGATCTAAGTATTTTATTATTGTAGAATTCTAAAAATTTTGTCAGTTTTAATTGAATGTTTTTTATAGTTATACTGGGCAATCAAGTTATCAATAATAAAATAGTGATTTGCAATATAATAATTTTCTTGAAATATCATGAAAATAAAACTCATGTTACATCGCGGGAACATTTGTAGTATTTTTTTAGAGTATTCTTCAAATGACCTCTTCTAGCCTAACTCTACAAACATAGCTTTGTATAAGCAGCTACTGCTATGTAAATAGCTACCGGTACTTATTTTGGAAGGACCAGAACCTTTCTGGTTTGGCATTGCCTACTCAATTTATTATGCCATGGATAGAGCGAGTGATGGGCATGGAATTTGAACAGAGATTTTTAACAAGTGCATCTAACCTAAAATAACCCTAAATTAAAAAAAAATTACATTCAGGAATAATAAAATAAAAGGTAATCATACTTATTTCTTCAGCTATCTTTCTGACACTGAAATGGCCGTTAGATTTGCTTTCCAAACATCTATAACAGTATTGGCAATCGCTTGTCCATGTGCGTTGGGCCTTGCTACTCCTACTGCAGTCATGGTTGGCACAGGTGTCGGAGCACAAAATGGAATTCTTATTAAAGGAGGAGAACCATTAGAAGTAGCTCACAAGGTATTTAAAATATTATTTTGTGCATTTATTTTGATGTTGGCCCTTTGTTTCTATTTTATTTTTAATGTATTTGTATGTATGACTGTGACAAGCATGGTGTGGAGTCTGAGAAGATGCACAATCAGTCCCTGACTCTGGGTTGTTAAAAATTTGGCTCCAACTCCAAGAAAATTAAATTTTGATAATGAAAACTTTGCCATATGTAAGCCTTCAGTAATAGAGTAATAAGAACACTTGATAAAATTAACCCTTTTTGTTTCTTAGTAGAAAGTTTTGATTAGGATTCCAGAATTTGACTCTTGACTCAGGGGAGTTTGAAAATACGACTCCATCACCTTCTCCGGTAAAAAATGCTGAACTCTTACTTCACAGCTCCGTTTACAAGTTTCATTTGTTTTCACCCTTTTTCTTAGGTAAAGACGGTTGTTTTCGACAAAACTGGTACTATAACACACGGAGAACCAAAAGTACAAAGTATTGAAAGATTCGATACAGATAACCCACAAGCTCCATCATTGAGATATTTGCTTGCTATGATAGGATCTGCAGAAGGAGCAAGTGAACATCCATTAGCACAGGCAGTTGTCAGATATGCGAAAGAGGTAAGATTTGATATTCAAGTTTCTTTATATAAAATGCTTTTTCCTCTAAACAGGGTCCTGTACATTGATATCTGGGTTTGGAATAAATCTTTCTAGTTCGGAACTGACGACCCAATTTATTACACCCTCGGTGAGGTAGTGGGCATGAGATTCGAACCTAGTGAATTTAACATTAACATGTACATTTGGATGATGAGATTCCCAGTAGCATTTCTCTCTATTTTCATTGTTGTTCTGGTATCTGGTAGTGAATTTATATATAAAAAAAAAGATCAATGTTTAAGCATATTGGCATGAAGGTCGATTATCTGTACCAATACAGTGAGGCCTGGGAGCACAAAGTTTGCTGAAAAGATCGATGGAAAAGCAATATGGAATAAAAAGTGTTCCCCTTCAAATAAAAAAAAATTCAGCAAAATTTTCGGTAAAATATCGGGTCCCATAAGAGAAGTTAATTGAATAAAAAGTAAAAGCCTTCTGGCGACTTAAAGTACTAAAATTTAAAATTGATTGGTCCATTGGTTAAAGAAAAGCGATTTTTCTCAAGAACAAGTACTTAGCAAAATGATCCATAGGTCCTCTTCATGTTCATTAAAACTTGACTGAGCTGAGCCAGAAAAAAGGCCTGTCTTTTACATTTAAAAGTCAAGTATATTGTACTTAATCAAAATTCAGAATCACTAAAGCTTTTCAGATTATTGTCTATTGTGAAGCGACTCAACTTTTTCCATGATTTTCATTCAGATTCTGAAAGTTGATGCATTGGCGAACACTACCGAATTCAAAGCGGTACCTGGTTGTGGCATTCAATGTACTGTATCGAATATTGAGAATGTTTTACAAAACAGCATCAATTCATATGGTGGTGTGGTATGTAGTTTTAACATGAAAAATGAGTCACACAAAACTATATAATAGCTGAAACTAACAAGAGAGCAATGCTCGAATATATGGGTCCCAAAGAACTCGAATTAAATTTCAAAAAATAAAAGTAATGTCTTCATAGTTACTTCTCCCATCTTCTAGTTGAAACTTCTTTTTGTACTTATAAATGATCATAGCATATCACTGCTGAATGTGCAATACCTACAGTCGCACTTCTCAACGTTATTTTTGAAGTCCTAAATGCGGGCAGATTTTTTTAGAAAATAGGTCGATATTTCACGATGTAATTGAAATTATTTAGAGGCGCATAATTTTCCCACTGACTTGTACCAACATTTTCTATTTAAACATAATTTGGGGGTGATATATCTTGTATTCTTTCAATCAACTATATAAATTATGCACAGGTTCCAGAATCTCTCGAATTCACAAGCGCAGAAAAAATGGTGTTATCTACTGCTTCGTCATCATTGAAAACAAAAGTATTACTTGGTAACAGAGAATGGATGAAAAGAAATGGAATTGTGATTTCAAAAAATGTTGACAATGTTATGAGTGGTAAGTTAAATTAGTAAATTTTAAAGGTATTCTTAACAGTAGTTTTCCACGTCATAAACTTTTGTACGGACAAACACTAACATAAAACGATTTTGAAGTCCTATTAGTTATAGTTAAATAGTTAGCATTATTTATTCTACATTTATCACACTCTGTAGTAGGTGTTATTGGTATGGATTATGGATACCATATCAAGCCTGACTGTTAAATTTCCAGCAAGTTTCCAGAAGATTGAAAGTATGATACATTCTAAGTCATATATCATTAGTATTTTCTTAGGCTGTTTCCAAGACTTTACTCTGAAAAAAGCTCTGTATAAGCACTAAGCAGTTACTGATATATGAGGAGCTACTCATTTTGGAAAGACAAGAATCATTCCTGTTTGGCATTCATCCCTGTATGGGATGATGGGCTGATAACGAGATATTCAAACTGCGATTTTTTTTCAGAACATGAAACCAGTGGACACACTGCGATATTAGTTTGTATTGATGGCAAATTGATATGTGCATTGGCTATTGCTGATACTGTCAAATCTGAAGCTGCACTTGCTGTTCATACTCTACAAAGAATGGGAATTGACATTATATTATTGACTGGTGACAATAAAAAGACGGCCAGAGCTATTGCTGCTCAGGTATGGCGCTTGTGTTCGATTTCATGTAGAAATTATAATTTATTATGAAAATTTCAGGAAAGTTTAACTGGTTACAACTAACAATTTTTACTTTCATGTGTGCTCAATCACTCACCCTCATTCAGCTTTTTTCATCATCTTTCGCTAATATTTTGATGATGGCATTGTCACAATTGTTCTCTTTTATGCATCATAGTCATCACATTTATATCCATGAGTCAATGACTATGTAATTTATATCAATCATTTGTGTCATCACAAACGTCTAAGAATGACTTATTAATGACAAACTTAATTCAGCTATCATCTTGGTCATATAAAATAACGGTTACAGAAATGTAATTACGCTAGTGTGCAGCAAGACGTTGGAATTACTTTTTTCTTCTAGATTTACACTTCTTAATTTTATTATAAAATTTTCACTCATTTCAAAAGAAATTTAAATTCTGTTACATTTCACAAATGAGGTCAAGCTTAAATACCGTCCATTTTTTCAGTGTGGAATTCATAACGTATTTGCTGAAGTTCTCCCATCTCACAAAGTTGGAAAAATTGAGGAAATTCAAAGATCTGGGCACAAAGTAGCAATGGTTGGTGATGGAGTTAATGATTCGCCAGCATTAGCACAAGCTGATATTGGAATTGCAATCGGGACTGGCACAGATGTGGCTGTCGAGGCAGCTGATGTAGTTCTGATCAAGGTCTGTCCATTTATTTGATGATTATTTATTCACTGTTATGCCATTGAGATTGAACAGTGATATATGACTTAAAGAGAGTAATACTCAAATATATTATAGACGTGAAAAACAAATGACGAACACTGTTCCTGTAGCATATCTGGCTTGCACTAAAATTGGTTATCCGATCATTCAATCACTTTGAAACTCAACACCATTCACGACTGGTGACATAATGCCACATGGTCTTGTCATAATTGTAGAAATAGCAAAGTTTTGGATGTTAACCACAAATATTTACAAATTGTATTGTTGTTTTGATGTACCGTATTATAAGTGGTATCCTCATTATTTTGCCATTTACATATGTTTTCAGCAACTATTTAATTCTTATAATAGTAAGGTGCAACTGTTACAATCAAATTCACACTGATCTGCAGAGCTACATTTTTTTGTTTTCAGAATGACTTGATGGATGTGGTTGCAGCAATCGATTTATCGCAATGCGTGATCAGAAGAATTCGAATGAATTTTGTGTTTGCTTGTTTGTACAATTTCATTGGAATTCCTCTAGCTGCAGGAGTCTTTCTTCCACTTGGCGCAACGTTAGAACCGTGGATGGGATCGGCTGCTATGGCAGCTAGTTCTGTCTCTGTTGTCCTTTCATCACTATTCCTAAAATTGTAAGTTAATTTCAAGTTACAGGAAATAATATAAGTGTTGGGGAGGCTTGAGTCATTGACTGGACTCATATTTGCATATTTGAAACTCTTCATTCTTCCTATGCATAAAAATTTGTTGACTTTTGTTCAGTTTGAATAGTTTATAATACGTCCATAAATATGTATTACAATAATGCTTGACGAATGAAAATATCAGCAATACTACACACAATAACAAACTAACATTTTCTCTACCATAACAATAAAATTATAAATACCCTCTGCTTGGAAAACCCTTTCGGATTTAAAGATTGCATGACAATATGTGTTTATATTGTAATAATTTTTTATTTCAGGATTTTTTGCAATTGAAACATTTAATAATATCTTGTGTTTTCAAAATTTGCCATAATGATGATTTACCAAATTCCTTTGTTAAAATTAGTGATTTATATTTTCTGATATCATAAACTAACCCTTCAAATATCTTTAGTAATTCCTCAAGTTACTAGCATGGCTGCTTATGCAGAGCCTTTTTGCAGCAGTATAAAAAGAGCATATTTAACTTTTACAAGATACAAACAGCCGAAGAATAGAGAGCGACTCTGTTTTATCAGAGCTTGACGTAATTCAAAGACTAGTGTTCACTTCGTGGAATCGTGTTTTTCAAAAGTGTAATCATTGGTGATTATTTTGACAAAGATGTAGTTTATTAGGGGTGAAAAGTAAAAGTTATTTTTGATTTCCAGGGAGATAGAAATTGAGTTACGTCTTTATAGACAAGATCTTTAATGAAATTAAACTTTTCTAGTGTAAGTTGGATGTGCCCATGCTTGATAGTACGTGAATTTTTGGTGGTGGGAACCTTTTAGTTTTATACTATAGTAGTGTTGTCATTTTATTTTACGGCATGCATTTTCATTGTCACAACATTTAGTTATTTTTGAACAAAGTTTGAAAATGTTTTTCTGTGCATGACCTCTGATAAAACTGCTTGAATGGCCTGTTTTATCAGTGGCCCATCATCGGCCAAATCCAAAATATATTTTCATGTCGGGTAGTACTTAATTTTCTTGTAGTTTTGTAGTAGTGCTCATTGTCTCAGAAATTATTTTTTTTTGTTCGACAGTCAGCGCGTCTTTGGGCTTTTGAACTTTACCAAATCTCCATTTGATTTTTGAATGCTTTTTTTGTTATACGATGTCTCGCATTCTTTCCTCAACCAAGTATGAAGCTATTTGTATGATTAAAAGCATAGGCCTTTTTGGATTAGTTAATGTGGATTTTATACTCTCAACCATTTCAGGGGAACAAAAACTAGATGGGCTTGCACCCAAATTCTCTAACCTTAATCTCGATAATAGTTTACCTTTTTCACTGCGTGTTGGCTCATTTTGCCCTTTTCTAAGTATTTGGGTAAAGATGGATTCGTAATTGATCTAGTACCATACCAGCTGACCGAAAACCGTTTTTGGTTGATTTATGGCAAGCAACCTGAAATTAAAAATTTTTCAAAATTGAAGTCTTTTCTAAGTTATCTGCGAAGATTGAAAAATAATGTAATGTTGTTAATATACTAAATCTCATTGTACAGGTATCGTAAACCTTCTTCCGACAAGTATGGTCATCCAGTATTTTTGGACAACGAAAATATTTTGAACGAAGATGACATTGTTGTCACAATTGGAGCCGACGAACGTATTCCCCCTTCACAAAGGAAACGAAAAGACTTATACAGCACCAAATCAAGCGCCGCTGGATCCAGTTTTGGAATCTCAATCAAAAACAAAGTTATCGAATCGTTGCATTCCATGTCTATAGGGAGTGGGGGAGACGGCAGGGGATCATATCATAGTGCGAATGGAGGAAGCGTTAGTATCACAGGTTGCAAGAGAAACATTGGGTTTAAAAACGGAAGCTCTGCATCGAAGGCTAGTATCGATTCATCAAAACAAAAACTGGATGAAATATCGTTGTTGGTCGATGGTGAAGATGATGATATAGTTTAGTTTGGTTGTTTACACATAGTCAAGCATAATCTAACATTGCAGAAAGCTTCATATATCTTTCATATTTAGCCTATCTTGTGTAGTTGCAATGAGAGTTATCAAACATTAAATATTGAGTTGAATTTCTGTAACTTCGAAGCTAATCAAGTGCTCTTTTATCAATATACATTATAGTATGGAGGATTTGTAGCAAAAAATATTTATTGTATATTCAATCTGATATTAAGTTGATACTCTATTGCACTATTTGTTCACTTATGCTAACTAGAAGATAAATGTTCTTAATTAAATATTTATTGAACTTGAGATTGAATGAATCGTATAGGTATAATAATTCTGGTATCTTGCGAAACCAATGCATTAAAATCATATGTTTATATCTGTCCAAAATTTGGATTTTATATAAATCTTTTGAGGCAAATCTTTGTGGTATACTAAATTCTACTCTTACTTGACACAAATCTTGTTTTCTTGTGTTTTTGCCAGAAAAAAAGGATTTCAAATATTCGTTTTCTTGAAAATTCACTTTCACATAAACAGACCATTTAAAACCATACGCTTTTACGAATACATCTGTTGTATATTTTCCGATTGCTTTTGTCTACTTTTGACGTAAAGACTATTTTTTTATTAATACATTTGCCGCAGTGACCTTTTGTGATATAAAATAAATTTTGGGGAATATTTTCTAGCAGTATATAAAATTTGCAAATTCTGCATTTTATTTCTCATTCCATTTATTACATACCAACTACTTGTAAAGATTATACATTATGATTTTGTTATGAACTCGATTTGCTCTAATTTCATCTTGTTTTATTTTCTGATTTTCTCTGTTTAAAATAATACAGCATACGTCTTGAGATTTTCTCAAAGAAATAATGTCTCAATTATACAGAAAAACATTATATGTTTCACCTGCAATTCCCAGATTTTAATTTGGCGTGATATTTAAAATCAAACAGTTGATTGAGGTTTTGGAAAAAGTGATTATATTTGCACTTAAAGTGATTATATTTGCACTTACTGAGTTTGAAATTGAAGACATAAAATGCCATCATTGAAAGTTTATTATCTATTTTTATTGACTTGAAGCAGTAATCCAAATTACATAGGAACAAGCGATCTTTAGTTTCAGACGACTTTTTCTGAATATTTGAAGATTGGTTCCCGTACATTTGAACCCACGACAACTGCACCTGCATACTATCACACCTATGTATTTTTTCTGCTTTACGGATATTTAAACCCATACTAACCCTAACCCATGGGTTTTAGCACCAGCATACTATCACACCTATGTATTTTTTCTGTTTTACGGATATTTAAACCCATACTAACCCTAACCCATGGGTTTTAGCACCAGCATATAGATTGAACCTGCGGATATACACATGGGTTCAAATGTATGTGAGTTCAAGTTTTGTTTCAAATTTAATATTCACGATGTGCTCTATTGATCATTGAAGTTTCATCACAAATAGATTTTGCTTTTTATGTGCTTTCAGATGGATGCTTTACTGAATTTTGAATTGTGAAGCATTTATATATTGTCCTATTGTCTGACTATCCATCTTGTCTCGCTTGTCTACATATTTTTCGTTGTTATTGCTCAACTTGCTCATAAACAAATTATATCATTTCATTGTAATTTGATATTTGGAATCCAGAAGCCAATTATAGCAGAAGTTAGGAAGGACTGCAGTTGCCATGCCTGGTGAGGGTGTCTCCAATTTGCAAAAGGCAAAGCCTATTCTGTCAGCTCTATAGTATGAGTCTATACGTACTGAGATCTCTACAAAGCGAATGCCGCACTTTCCGTCGGAGTCTTTCTGGAAGCAAATGTGCGGACTCCCATTTTCTTGTTGTGCGGAGTTTACTTTAGCGTGAATATGCAGTTCCCGACGTACGTTCGGATGGAAGCATCTCCATCAGGGCGAAACTGAAAACGTCGACATAGCTTGTGCAAATTTGAGAACGGCGTATGTTGTTGCAGGTTTGCGACCGATCATCAGCAACATAAAACAGTTGTTCCCAACCGCCGGTCCGGGAGAAATTTCGTTGTCTGTCTCCTCAATCGCTTTACCGAAAACGAAGTTGCGTTGGTTTATTGCGCAATTTCGAGTAATCACACTTTTCTCGCTTTTTCGAATCCGATTTATCGCTCATGCGCTCCATCCTATCTTGCTTTTCCTGGTTGACATGACCATCCATATAAAACGTGTAGACCCTATAACAGTCAAGAACAGTATAATATTCCAGCAAGATATGAACTTGTTGCGACCGTGCAGGTGGTCACGAGACGCAAAAAAGCATGGGCCGCAGAGATATTTTCCAGTATTCCGGACCGACACAGTAGGATTTTGAGCCTGGTACCGAGTTAAAAAAATATCACTGTCATAATTTTGGTTATCTCTTCTCTCTTGATAACGAATACCTATCGCTAAGTAATCGAGAAATCAAACTGTTTTCAACCAGTTACTGCCTTATGCGAAAAAACCTTTTCATTACTAGCTTTAATTTAAAAAAGCAAAGAAATTGACTGCACGTCGCTGCAGAGCTGCGTGTTGCAGAAATTTCTTTGAGGTATCGTTTGCCTTTTTTTCTAGAAGCATATTGAGTGCCCGGCATTGCATTATATTACGCAAATATATGTATGTCATTCTTTTCCGTTGTGGTCATTTCAATTTTTTAGACGGTCCGCGAGTACATTTAATTGAATTTTACCGGTCTGTCAGGGTAGAAAGGTGGGGAACCACTGACATAAACCACCTTGCAATTGCACGGTTTCACCCATTGTTACTCATATAATCACATGATAAGCGCGGTTCCATATTAGCTGAGTACTGTAGGTAGCTCTTGCATTTTCTTCATAATAAAATTAAAATATCACTCAAATGATGTTCACATTTAACGCCAAACCTAAACAAACGAAATACGCACCTAATGAAAATAAACGCACAGTTAGTCATTTGTAAAATGCTAATGACTGGCGAATCATTTTGAATGGGATTGTACCAACATTTTATTTTCTAAGACCGGCGCTATTTTTCACCAATTAGTTGTCATATTAAAACTAACTGTCAATTGGAAGGACACAAAAAAGCAGTCACATTTAAATCCCATTCTCCGACCTGTGCTACATGACAATAGTTTGAAATTTCTGGAATATTTCCAAGTACTTTCTTTTGCAGACCAATCCAAATTAGTTTCAAACTGTTTCCACAGCTATCATTACACCGGATTTCATGCTTCAGTTCCCCTACTAACAGCAAAACGATCATACAAGATAGCTAGATATGGTAAACCTACATTACCTACATATGCTAGCCTACACACAATACAATAATACATAAACGAGAATATCGGTCAGAGACCGAAGACTTATCGATTGAAAGTTAGGGATCCCAAAACATCGCTCTTACTCCATAGTGACACCTTGTGTCCTATCACTAATTAATTAATAACTAACTAATTGTACGACATCATTCGCCCAAAATCAATAGGGTTCTGGTCCGAGATATGATGAATGCACATGCAAAATCTGGAGTAGATTCAATCTCGCTTTCGTGAGATATCGCATTCATCTAACAGACATACAGACAAATACTTACCGATTAAAATCGATAAGTAATAACACAGTGACAGACATTTAACATGCATTCAACAGTTATTTACCAAATCAGGGTCTTTATTTATGGGGTTACTTCCGAGTTGTCGGCACCGGGGTGCGTCATTTAGTCTAGTCTTCCCGGCGATCTTCTCCTGGCGTTGCACATGTAGGAGGTGCACTACTCTTCGGAATCCAGGTGGATTTCAAACCACATCCCCCTGTGGAGGCTAGGGGTTCAGTGGAATTTTTTCAGGGTTGTTACCGGGTTTGGATAAATTCGAATGGGGGCAACAACAGTAAAATGACCAGCAGGCCAATAGATGTGGTGTACCTGATCCACCGACCAAATGTGAAACATATTATGTTACCTCTGTAGTAATTATTAAAGTTTGTACAAATGGCCGTTTGTTTTCATGTCTTAGCCAATCGCTGGCCGCGTTTTAATGAAATAAAAAACTGATTAATGATGAAATAAAAAATTGATCTTTATAAGATACTCATTTGCATATAATATAAATCGTTTTATCGACTTTCCCTTCAACTGAGATGAATGTGAAAATTCTATACCAAAATATACCTATCAATTTCGTTAATATCTGCATTGGATGAAGAAACAACATCACTAACTAACAATTTTGACTTTTGCGCGAGACTAATTCCCTATCCTTCCTCTATGCCAGGGGCGGGCATTTTTAGTATCAGAGCGGCATGCAGTGCGAACCAATTCTGTCACAGGTTCATATGTTCAAGTTGCACGAAATTTTCAAAGTTCATTACTGGGAATAGCGACGCACAGCAGTATATTGTGCTAAAAACAGAAAGGAGTCGTATACTAGCCATTTTAACTTCAGGGTATTCATTGTCTCAAACTATTTATTCCTCTGGGTGTTTAGGACGAGCAATATTCTATGCTATAACAAAACTAGCTTGAGTTGTTGGATTGGATTTCTTGCGAAATGATATCATAAATTTCTGCTGTCGTTTTAGTAATAATTTAAACTCATTTATTGTGTTTCTCTACGGCTGATTTACGAGGTTGGTCTCGTAAGAAGTTTTTGTGATTCGTTTCATGGCGCCATTTATCATTGCTGACTTAGCAGCTTATATCAGATTAAGCACAAAGGTTTGCTTTCGTGGCTAGTGAATGCCTATTTTTCTTCCCATTTCTGACTTGACAGCTCTGTTGTCATCCACGTATTTTTACTGGCAGATATATCGCACTGTAACTGAGACTAACCGCAATGAAGTCGCACCGTCAACGCAGCAACAGACATTTGACCATTGTGACGTAAGATTTGTAGCTTGACTAATTTAAAATTCCACGCTACAACGATTTGAATACTAAAATATAATTTATCTCAATCATTAATGAAAACTTCTTCTACCGCTTAATAAATAAAATAAATACTAATACACCACTGTTTCTCTTAGTAATTTGGAAAACAATTAATGCTAACGAGAAGAGCCTCATAAAAACTCTTGCGAGCCGCGGTTTGCCCATCGTTGCCCCATGCCTTTATGTTTGGGGATTCGTATGCGTATACTGCAAGGATGCTGTAGCAGGAATAAACATAAGTGTTCTATCCAATTCAAGAGTCCTGCTGCACACTAACACAAACGTATTTCGCTTCGTCTGACCAAAATCATACTTTCTCAGACAAGCAGTTTACAACAATGGCAAGAAATGAACTATCGCCAAAATAATGATGTGATTCTAGGGTTCGCGCGTACCTGGGGATATTCTTAATTATTTTTTTGGCTTTTAAACAGCCGCAGCGTACGGGTAACGTGTACCGCTGCTGACGACTGAAGTTATTTTCGGTCTTTCGGTGAAAGAAAGAGACAAGGGGGAATCTCGTTAATTCATTCGCTCACTAATTTAGATGGCGAGGCATTTGGCCGAAAAGAGATCGACCCATCTCGTTCGCCCTATTCGCTCTTTTATTATGATACAAACATTGAGATAGCATCCATCACTTAATAAGATCGTGACATCTATCAGAATTTTTGATCCACATCTTCACCATTGTGCTACATCACAAAAGGCAAATCGGGACATTAAAGTACACATCGTTTGACAGATGTCCCATGCAATGTCGTATTTAAGTCTTTAAACATACTTCTCACTTAATATCATCTCCGTGGTCATTGCTTTGCCAATAGCATAGAACAGTCCATACAAGTGACCAAAATATACTTTTTGCTTCCCATCTTCCATTATTTTGCAATAATAAATGCATCGAACTACCAGACAACTGAACATACATACATACTATCAGCGTAATTGAACATCTACCTTATCTGCACCCCACGATAAAAATGAGTCCATCGCAATACCGTCGCATACCGTTTTTAGATTTCCCAATTTAATATGCAGCAAAAAGAATCGACACAAAACACAGCAGCAAAAAGACAAAAAATTAAATCTGAGATTTTCAGAGTCTAATTACGAACGAAACAGGCTTGGCCGCTTGCGGCCGAAGATAATCCGTTGTAAAATTAACACTCTAGAAATCTAACATACCTTTTACTCGGATTTTAATAAAATATAGACAGGATGGGGAACGATTCCTGGAAAAATTAAAAAAATAAATGCCTGATAAAAGCAGGCTTCAGAAACACACCACAAATTTGTTTAATAATAACAAGTCATGCTTGGCCTAATCAAATCATTATACCTGGCCGTTTTCTTGTTTTAAAATTTAAAAGAAAACTCATGATAAACTAAATTAAAATTGATAATAACTGGAGTAAAATAAAAAGAAAAAACAAATAGGTTGTTAATTCCTAGGCAGAAATAAGAATCTAGAATTAAATGAAATTGAGTCCTTGTGGTAAGGTCGTCTTTTGAACGATTTAGCCACAAAAATAAAATTTGTGCAGATATTTTCTGAATACAGCGAATTTGGCAAAGGAAGGAAAATGATGAAATAACAAAAAGTTCAAAAATCTTTTCTACTCTGTATATATCCAAGGATAAAAGAACAGTTAATGCTTTTATATGTTTGCTTGTTCTGATAGTCATTACCACGAATATACAACATTGTATACACACGAATTGAATAGGTTTTTGGTTGTATTAAAATCCAGAAATTGTGCCTAATAAAACAGATCAAATCCATTTTTGTCCCAATTTAAAAGCAAATGAAAAGTTTTTTGTAACATAAAAACTGGCAGAAACTGGGTAAATATAATCTCACAAAATGAAACAAATTTAGTCTTTTTAACAATAATTAATAAATTGTACAAAGATTCCGGCAATACCAGGACTGAATAGGGCAGTAAAGTAATTTTTTATCCAATTCACATCAAAGAAAAATTAAATTATAGATTCTCTGTTCAATTCCTGTGAATGATATAAGTGAACAGGGATGAAGCATATTAATGACAGCACCTATCATTTCAGAAAAAAAATTAATAAGATCTCTTGGCACATAGAACAGAAAATGATATATTGCTCAGATAAGCTCTTGATGACAATTACAACAGTTGTTAAATGAACAAGCATGTCTTATTCAGTAAAAAGAAAGTCTATTTTCTTTATCCGATTCATTTTTCGATATTTTGAAATTCTAAATGTTTTCGTCTAAATTCTCATGTTCTGGCAGGATGTAGGTTGCTAACAAATGAACAATCATGACAATTAATTTTTGTAGATTAGATTGGATCCACGGACTACAATTTAATCAATTTCTCAAAATGATTCCAGTGTAAGATGCACCAAGATCATGATAATGTAAAAACAGACACCACTAACCCAAATTAACATTTCGAACTCATCTTAAATTTTCATCAAAATATATAAACAAGAATGAATACAATAAAATAAAAATTCATTTTCTGCTCGAAAATGTAAATTATGATTGCCCAAAAACCAGAATTTATTTTTATTTGTTCAAGTTAATCAGTCGCACCATCAGACACCAGACAGAAAAAATCAAAAAACAACAAATTTTGTCAATGACCATTAGAGTGAAAAATTTTAAGTAAAAACAGTCAGTTGTGGCAAATTTTTAAACAACGGATCAAAAAATTTAAGCTTGCTTGGTTCGATTATCATGCTAGCATGAGGAACACAAACTTCCAATGCCAGGTTGAGATTTTATGAAATAAAAATAACGTAAAGAATTTAAGTATTAGTCCGGTCAGGTAAAAGGCAACGTTTCTCTATATTTTTTAGCAGTTTATTTTACTAAATGTAACTTATCCGTACAGATTGTTTTTTTATTAAAATAATTAATTGACAAGTCTCAATGTTTATGACCGCAACTTTACAGCAAAAAGGTTACATGTTCTCCCACGATTACTTAGGCAGTTGAAAAAAGAAAGCAAAAATATAATAAGCTTAAAATCAAAGAAAACGATGTAAGAATAATAATAACAATAATAAGAAGAAGAATAAAATAGCTAATTTGAAACCATATACCTCAGCCACACCCAATAAAATCAGAATTTTATAAGCCATGCAGTAGCGATATAGCTTTGCTCAATCAGCCCGTATTATCTATAATAAAACACAAAATTATGATAAAGCAGACAAATTCATTAATGACCAGGTCTGTAGAGAAGTTTGGCATGCTTTCACTGAAGTCGTATTTTCATACTAATTTAAGAATTTCGATGGTGACCAAAAGTGTTCTCAACAGTATACCAGGAAGGCTTGCATACGCCGAAGCTTGTGTTATGAAAACTTTATCTAGTCTAGAGATAAAATTGATCTTATCCCAAACGCGGGAGACAAGAGTACAAATTTTTTCAAGCCAAAGCCAACCTCACAGCCCTAATTATCGCCCCATATTGAGTGAAAAAAAATTACAAAATTAACCGTTCACCTAGGATTCATTTTATATTTCACTTCGAATTCACCCATGCCAGATTTTTCTCAATTCACCACTTTTGCAAATATAAGCTAAAAAGAGTGATTGAACGTCTTTACAAATTATTCAAAATACCTGGATCACAAATTGTAAAGTATAATGTTTCTGTAACTAACCAAGTTCTGTAAGTACTTGCCAAATAACATTTCAGACTTGACAGTTCGTGAGTGTAGATACAATTAAATATATTTGAGAAAAAGGTAAATTTGACAGTGATTAGGATGTTGATGAAACTTTAAGCTTATTAAACACATCTGTTGTGATATTGGCAGGAATATAATTTGGGAAGATCTATTTGTTATCCTAATTTTAATATGTCCCTCTTGATATATTTGTTCAATGGTGATCCACATATAAACTTGCTCAAAAGTGAATGTAACTCAATCCCCTACTCAATGATGCAAAAAGCAGATAAAGTGCCAATGGTGGGACCAGGGAGTAGATCAGTAGTATAGGTAATGACGCTGAAACAGCAGGATATTGAAATCTATCTGGGGGGTGGGGATAAAAGACAAGTATTAAGGCAGGTAATGGGTTGAGCAAATGTCATCACCGAATAGCACAATAAACATCATAACAAGCTCAGCGAAAGATGCCAAATTTTCATCTTTGCTTATAAAGCATTATCATTAATTATGAAAACGTAGAAGTAACTTCAATATTCTTTTCACTGTTTTTCTGATGTCTTTACGCGAGCATGCAACACTCCACACATTTAATAATGCTATAGATAGGACTATTAATGAATTTTTTTTATTTTCTTTGTTAGAAAAACGAGCAAACGTGTTGAAATACAAGCTATCATTGGCACCAAAGATAGTGCCGTAAGTCTTTTGAAGTCAACTTTAACAACTGTACTAAAGTTTCCGCTAATATTCGAGTCTGTAGCGTACATGGAGCTCCGATTCAAGCTCAATTTTCAAGAATATTCATAAGATTCTCTCGATTCCGTAATGCTAATTTCTAACGTAATATAAACTCCATATTACGACTAACAGAACAATTTAAACACATTGTTAACTGAACCATGAATAATTAATTAATGGATCCTGAAGCAAAATCAGTAAATTTAAACTCATCCACATAATGAGCTCAATCACGGAAGAGAATCGCTAGACCATTTCACACCCAGAATTTTAGTCAGTCAGTCAGTACTCGACGATATTTTGACTTGATTATGTACGGGCCTGTCATGTCCTGCTTGAATTTCCGCCCTCATCAACATGTATTGCAATTGTTGACGATTTGATCTCAATATGAGACGATGTGGCGGATGATGTTGTTGCTTTTTTATCGCCTGATGAGTTGTTTTTGTTCGATGCTGACAATGATGTGGAAGGTTCTTTGGATTCGTCACTTTCTGGAGGCTGTTTGAAAAATAATAAGTTTAATTTTTTTATAAGATGCTAATTCACGTCTTTTACTCTGAACAGTCTCTTTACAAGCAGTAACTGATATCTGACGATATGTGATTGTGAAGAGCTATTATTTTTAGAAGGTACAGGATTTTCCTGGTTCAGTATTGCCTGCGCTATTTATTACATCCAGGGTGAAGAAGCGGGCATGAGATTTGAACCTGACCAGATGTGTTATGAAAAAATGATTAGTCTAAAAGTAATCTGCGAATGAGTAATGTTAAAAAAATTATAAAGAATAGAATCAATCAATCATAATAAATCCGGCATAAATGACCCTACTCACCAAAACTCTGAAATCTTCTAATTTTTTGTATTTTTCGAGCCATTTTCGCAATTGTGGGTCGATTTCCGATTTAGAATGTCCAGAATACTTCACGTAAGCCCAGAATTTTTCCAATCCATATAGTTGAGCTGAAATAGAAAATAAATGGAAAAGGGAATAAAATTTACAGTATTAGATGTTTATACGAAAGTATATAAAACTCGAGTGAGAAAAAGGGACTTACAATTCTTATAATCCTGAATTGTGCATTGCTGAAAATCCTTGAATAAATCAACTCGATATCGCTTTTCCAGCCCGTAACTATAAAATCTGAATAGGCATTCCAATCCATATCTAAGCAGAATATAAAAACAAATTTAGTTGAGACAATGAAGTTTTTCACACAACATATTTACATGCCTCCTGCTTTGAACAAGACTCTACACATGAAGTTGTGATAGTTTGGAAAGACCGAAATCTTTCTATTTCGACACTCCTACCCATAGGATTTGAACCAACGGGGCAATCATAATTACAGTAGTCTAGCACAGTGGTTCCCAAACTTTTTGAAAAAAATTCCATGACTGACCCCTTGCAATTTTTTTAATGATTCCCGGCCTTGTGCACTAAAACAAAACATTAAAAGATCACAACAAAAAATCAATGCGCCGTATAGTGAAACGAACAAAAGAATATAAAGTGCAGCTCTAATGACCTGTGTGACATCCAGTCTGTTTCAATGTTTGGTAAACGCACAAAAGGGCAGCGTCAGTTACAGTTCTTCAGTTAGTAGACTTGTAGTAGCATGAATTGAACTCTCTCTGTGATATCACAGGCCAACAGATCTGTGACATCACAATGGGGGAGCGTAATCGAAATAGAAAGTGAGGTAACAGTGTTACCAGTGGTGATTGCGAAGCAGCAAAAGGTGACAAATGTGTATTTTCAAATTTAAGCACTTAATTTTTTCATTATCAAGCTATTAGTCATGTTACAGATTTGTTTTGGGGACTTTCGGGGACCGAAAGTGCTTCACGGACTCCAAAAGGTCCGCGGACCCCAGTTTGGGAACCACTGGTCTAGCGCATGCAATCCACTCCGCCATCAAGCCCACATAAACACAAATTCACATCCCGAACTTCAATAACTTTTGAAAAACATTTTCCATATCTAACCTGTATCCAGAATTGCTGTCTTCAGTTGCCAATGACTTGAATTCTTCGTACATTTTCCTGTTGAAATTATCTCGCAAGAAAAATGACCAGAATCGAAACAGTGTGTTCATTTCTTGTGATTGTCCAACGCCTACCCGACTCCGTTCTAAAATCATAAAGTTCTCCCATAAAATGATAAAGAATAACAGTTTTAAATATCTTATAAATACAAGCCTTGGATCAGTTCAAGTCGAAATAATCAGGAAAAACAAGTTATAACTGACATTCTTATGAAAAATTAAACAATATAGTATTCCAGTATGCCTACCTTTGAGACATTTTGAGTGATATTTTCCGTAAACAAGTTGAGTGAATCCATTTTCTTTGAGCAATGAGTGAGAAGGATGCTCAAACTTAGGCAGTGATTTAGGAGTGCAACTGACAGGGCGAGAAGAAGTTACAGATAAGTTGGAAGGACTGGCAGTGCGACCGCTGAAAACAAGAAGAATCATTAGATTGAAAAAAACAGAAATTTTTCAAATTCCAGATGACTTCGAGTAATTTGAAAAATTAAAATTGCTTCATAGTTGCCTCAACCATTTTTAAGTAAGATAAACTTGAGATAAGTTAGTTGCGTTAGTTAGTTTATCATCTCACTAAGGCAAAACAATTTTTTACCTTGTAGAAGGAGTTCGGGATCTTGATCCATGTTCTCTTATATCCATAACCCACCCAACGTGATGTTCCTGTGGAGGATTCCTACTGTGTCGAGTCTTGATTTTGCGAGGAGTCTGAAAATGAAATTGGGAGAAATGAACAAAAATGACTGGTTAAATTCGAAAAATAATAGAATTTTCAAATTCTGTGCATACCTGTATGCAACAGTTAAAATTCACAAAATCGAATTTCAATCGAGAAAACATATTGCCTAATTTAAAATTAATTGATCTTCAAAAAAATACAATTATATTGTAATAAATAAGAGTTGTTATTGGGCAATCATGATATAGTTAAGTAAACTTAGCAACATTAATCACTACATCGGGAAACACCAAATATTATATAAAAAAACATGATTAAAAAGAAGCATTCCATATTATCATACACACATACCATGGGGTCAGGAGTGACAGTGTCTTTAACAACAGGATAAAATCTTGGTGCAGTCGTTGCATCTTTGTGATGTGGAGTACGTGGGGTATGTAGTCTTGCTCGTGGACTGGATTGTACAATATCGGCCGGCTGAGATCTTTGTACCGCTGCTGTAAAATGGACAAGATCTATAACTTTTTACAAGTTTCACACTGAAACAAACATATGCAATTTTTTACATTCTAGATAAGGATGCCGATATATAGAAAATCGCATCCACTTTAGATAACGAATGAATATCTTTGTCATGGAAGTTTCAGCAGCTTTAGATTAAAGTGTAAAAAACACCAACTATATTATGTGAAAATATGTGCGGGCATGGCTTTAGAGTCTTGAGTTTGGCATTTTTCTATGGATTAATATTTCAAACTATGTGTCAAAGTTCTCAACTCTCAGGGGGTTCGGGAGTCAAATTTACAGACCCATGGTGATGAAAGAAGTCAAAAGTGCACTCTGTGATATCAACAGTCTATAAAAGAAAGGCTTGCATACGTGGCATACACCATAAAAATTTTGGTATCAAAATTTGATTTTTCGAGTTCATAACTAGAATTTAAATTTTCACAACTAGAAATTAGAAATCTGTTAAAAATTTGTTCTCAACTCCCGAAATTCAGAGTCAAATCAACACTTTTTTTAACCAGAAGCCAATGTCAATTAATTTTCCCCACAGGTTAATAAAAAGGCATACAAAACGCTAAAAAATTCAATCAGTCACATTGTCCGTTCAATCATTCTTAGTTGATCACTCACCTTGAGTTTCTTCATCAGCTGGTACCTGTTTGTAAGTCGGACCAGGCGGGGTGACCTGACTCAATGTCATTGGTATTTTGCCTTCCAAACGAAGATTCTCAAATTCTTTCTGACTGATGATGTTCACACGAGTATATGGGGCTTTTTTCTCCTAAAATGATTAAAAACAATAACGTTATGAATATTTTATAATAATGTGTTTTGTGTAAGTAATAGGGCTGGGAATGGTTAACTGATTACGATGGTTACGATTTATTTTAACCGTTAACTGACATGTCAGGTACAAATCATCTTTATAATGTACAATTTCTTCAAAAATGATTACGTCATCGCAAATTTATCTCCTGTGACGTTTAATCCAAAAGAATATCATTAACTGTATTGGTAAGGACCCAAGAAATGTGTAAAATAATTTAAGTACCAAGTTCGCTGATTATGAAAATTTGACAATGATAAATTCACACAAATATTGTTCACGATTTTATTGCAAAATCGTATATTCAATGCCATCCAACAAGTGCACATTTGATGCTGTTTTATTTTGTGATATTTCAGAGTAGAATTCGCACTTCAAACACTGAAAATTTGTCACATAAATAGCGGATACAGGTTTTACTTCTATATGTCCGAAGCCATAACCATTGTGAAGTAACAAGTCAACATTATAAATTAATATGTTGAATGTCATGCTGCGGTTAACTGGTTAATTTTACCCGGTTAACGGTTGAAGTGTGTTCCCTGAAATTCCCAGTCCCTTTAGTCCCTTTAAGTAAATAAAAATATATTTTCATAAAATTTATCACCATTACATCCACTTCTGTATCGCTGTCAAAATCCCACAAATCTTGTTCATAATAATAGAGACCATCATTGATGATAGAAGCTAATGATTGTGTCATTTTTGTTCTTGAGGTGAAGTTTCCAGTTCTGTCACCTCCAGGATGTTTACGAAAGGCTGGGGGAGTCTGTAACAGAGAAGAATCAAGGTTCAGAGTATTTTTAACTAAATTTGCTCGAACGAAGGTCAAGCACGCTCCCTCAGAAGTAAAGAATGCGTATCTCTGAGCGAAGTTATGGGCAACTTCACTTTGGAAGCCAGACAAGCTTAAGTACACAGATTTGGTAATAAAGTAAATATTCTAATTCTAGAGCGGCACTTACACCGTCTATCTTACACCGCTTATTAACGATATTTGAAGAGCTAGTATTTTCAAAAGGACCAGAATCTTTCAGATTCAGTATTGCCGACTCGATTTATTACTCAGGGCAAGATTGTAACATGTGATTCCAACAGCAAGTTTCTTGCTTTAACCTAGGTGCTCACTGCTCACTGTAAAACAATACAGTAAAAATTAAAATCGTAGTCCAATCACCTGGGTGACTATGATAATTTTGCTGACGTCAGCATCTGTAATGTCATCTTCATCAGAGTCTGAATCCCATTTTGTGAAACTTCGTTTATTGATATTCAGTTCTTCCATTTCAGAATCCAACATGAAATCGAGTTCCTCACGTTGGTCAACGTTCTTTGTTTTCTTGTTTGTTTCGGTGTTAGAGCGTGATGACTGAATGCTGGTATTGGATGAGTCTACCGAGTCGGCCTGAAAATCGTAAATGAAAAATACTTGAATTGGAAGATGTCAGCTATGCAGTGAAGTTTAGAGTCCAAGTTTTTGCATGTTTTATTAATATTGGAGCTAGAATCCTAGAGCTTTTTTTCAGCTCTATGAAGTCAGGAGTCTCAAGTCATTATTCCAGACATCTAATGGTGATTATTTCGAGGAATTTCGAAAAACATCAAGTTGATTAAGCATTTTCAACAGACATAAGAAGGCTTTTCATAAGCCAGTCAAGACTCGGTATTCTCGGAGTACAAAGCTGAAGCAAAAATTTTTCAACCAGCTTGAGTCAAAATATTTGTCAAAGCGAAGTCAAGAATCAAAAATCGCTCAAAGTCGGGTGAAAATATTACAGACTCCAGAGCTTTGGATTTAAGAAAAGTGATATCAAAATATTTCATGGAGATTCAAATCTGAGATAAGCTTATGTGTGCCAATGAAACAATATACAGACAAACCAATGCACCAATGCACATTGCTGAAAAATAAATTTGATCGAGCAATTGCCTGTAACCCCAAGATGCAAAAGCCCTTCTTCTTGTAACTCTTAATTAGTAATACGATTTTGTTCCTTGTTCATTTATGCTCGTCAAACAATACACAACAATAAAATATGAACTAAACATAACACCACAGCTTACATGTTTTTCGATGCTTTTTGATGTTTCATTCATTGAACTGTCCATGCTTTCATCTGCAGATTTATGTGATTGATCATATCCACTCTGAAAAGTATAGACATTGATAAATAAGAAGCCTGTGAGGTCACTTCCTTAGACGCAGGGCCGTGGAGTTCAAGTTGACAATTTTTATCGATATTGGAGTCACTACTCACAAGTCAAATTTTTAAACTCTCAATAGCCAGAATCATTTTTTTAAATGACTAAGTCTCTCAATGCCAGTCTGATAACACCGTCCTTGAATTCATCATTAAAAGTCTGACTTGCAACTTCCAAGGATTTACAATAATCACACCAACATTAATGAAAACTTAATTGCATGAAACAAACACAAAGACCCAAATCGAAACAATATATATTACACACAATGATAAGTTCTTAGCAACTTCATAGTTACAAATTTTAAACGTTACGAATGTTCCCGACACCCAATACTAGGGCTAAGAATTTACCATTTCACAAACCTTTTTACTTCGACCTCCTTTATGTTTTTTGACTTCAATCCAATTATCTTCTGCAGATGAATCTTTTGAACCAAAACCAATGCGTGGTTGCAAAGAAGGTTGAGGAGCAGAATGTTGCTCTGTAATAAACAAATTAAGACCAATGTCAAAGAAAAAAATTTTACTTCGCATATGCTTTACTAGATAGATATTATAAATTAAAAATAAATTAAATAAAAGTAAATAAATAAATTATATAAATTATAAAAAAAACAGTCAAGGAATCCAAAAAAGAAGAAATTCTGAAGAAACAACATATATAGTGGACATGGACCTGGTGTAGTAGTTAAATTGCTCGACTTAACTTGAACAGGGTGTAATAAATAGGATCGGTAAAGCGTAACTGAAAAGATTGAACCTTCCAAAAATAGAAAATCCTGACACATTGCTAGATTTCAGTGGCTTTATGTACAGGGCCTTGTTCATAGCAGAAGTTTAAATATTTGTTGAATGAAAAATTGATAAATTTTTAAATAACACTATTCTCAGATCATAAAAATTGAAAAGAACTAAAAATATTCACTGCAATCAATTTTGAATCGATTCGAATATTTGTTTAGTCTTGGACATTCCTGATTAGAACTTTGTTACAAAAAAAGCAATTTAAAATTATAAAATCAAAGTCACCATCATGAGGTAAAATAAAGGAATCGAATCCACTATCCTGCACTGCATGACCAACATAGGGTTTTCCAGGTATGAACGCAGGAGTATCGATGAGACGCCAGAAATCAGAGTGAGCTACTTTTTCTTCATCAACGATTTCTCCTAATTCTTCAACATGCTTACTGGGGAATTGCCGTACCGGGGATGACAAGGCTTCTTCTGATGTAGTGGGACTTATCGATACAATCACCTGGTTCTTAGAATATACGTAAAGTTAGTTTTATTTTGGCTTAATAACCAATATAATGCAAATTATTTGTTCAATGGGTATACCAATTATGTGAATGGTGCAAATATTGTAAAATTATGAATTATTACATATAGAGGGTGGGGTGGGGTGTTAAAAATTTCGAAACCATCTTCTAATGAAATTGACATTATACAATGAATCAAATTAAAAAGTCACTTAATGGAGGTTAGTGTGAGGGTTGAATTTGGCCTGGGGAAAATCAGCCAACTTTCCATGGGAGGAACTTTTTACAGTATTTTTCATGGCTCAAATTTTTCTAGTACCAGAGGGTGTGTGACCATCGACAGTATGACTGTTGATTTTTATGGCACCTCCACAAGATGATTTATTAACAATTTCACAGAACTTTGGTCATTTACTCGATGAATATTCGAAACATCTGAAAAATTTTTGATTAAAGAAATTGACTATAAGAATGTTCCTTAGTAGCAAATACAACAACAGTTCATAGGATGCCATTACAACAGGACTGAACAAACCTGGATAGTAGGCATCTTATGAAACGAGTTAAGATCCGTGTCTCCTTCAAGAACCCAAGATGTTGGATTTTCTTTGCAACGTAGTTTGCCATCAATCATCTCTATTATTTCACTCTCACAAACAGCCTGAATATAGTGAAAAAATAGCAAGTTTGATAATTTTGTAACATAATTAGGTATGTATGGAAAAATTCACCATAGATAAAATTTGAAAATGATGTTGTTTGAAAAATGTCACATTACAATTATTATTTATATTTTTCAAATTATTAAACAATTAAATTTATTGCTTGTTTCATACTGCACGAATGTCAAAATTTTCAGAATAATAAAAAATTCCAAACATTTTAGACAAATAATATTTCAGATTTGGTTTACAATAAATTCTCTATTTATTTACTATTATATTTATATATTATTTGCAGCAATTTAAAAGGTAAGGACGAGCTAACCACAAGAAATACAACAGTTTTGGAAACAACAATATAATGACATATGAAATAATTGTAACTATTTATAAAAGAAATATAGAATTTTTTATAATCATTCACATAAGACAACTAGGGAAAAAAACAATACTGACTCCAGAATAACCAAAGATGTATTGTATGAAATCATAATTTGCTTTTTAAGCTTATCGAGGATGTAAATCAACGAGCACTGAAAAAAAGAAAACAAACAGCACGAACCTCTTTGATAATATCTATATCTGTGGTAATATTCTGAACTCTCTGGAATCCCGATATTAAACTGAGAGGAAGAAATCCTTCCACATCCATCTGAATATTGAATTGAAAAATATGCTATGTATAAAGAAGCAAAATAAAGACGGCCTAAAGCGAATATCCAGTATTCTGAATATATTCTAAAACCACATTTGTGACTATGGAATATTGCATATAAACTGTAAATTCGGGTATGTTCAAGAAACACATAATTCAGTGAGTTTGAGTTTTGATATGTTAGAAAGATAAACAATCATTTAATTGGATAATCACAATATCAGTTTTCAGAACTTACAATAAATAAATTTTAGTCACATCTTGACACTTGAATTGTTTAAAACGTTAATGTTTCAAAAGAAACTAGTTTGATAAATTATCATTATCCTGAATCAAGAGTTTAAGATAATGAATAAAATCAATTTTGAATCAATTCAAATTGTTATGAGCATCCGTAGAAGTAATATCAATCTTATCAGTGAAAATTTTAGCGGCAAAATTTCAGTATAAATTCAATATTTTCCACAATTTTGCTACAAAAGTGTATATCAATGCAAGAATTTTAAAATTGAATGAAAGCTCAAAACAAATTATTATTTGTGTATGTTGGGCACCCATATTACAACGCCCAAGCATCACGTTTCACCTAACTTATACTCGACTATATATTGAACAGTTTGAATGAAAGCGATCATATCGAATAAAAATAAATCAATCAGTGGTATGATTAATAGATTGGGCTATTTCATCAATTAATATACATTGCAAGCAGATAAATGTCAAAATGATGATGAAATATTACCACCAGGTGATTTGAATACAAAATGTAAAAGAATATATGGAAAAATTTACTGATATATACATATATAAATTTAAGCAAATGGCATTCAATCAATTTACGGTAATAGATACTGAAAAAAATAATCTCTAATCCATATTTAATTTCAAAATCTGCACCAAGTAATCAAAATTATGGAAATTACAGTAAACTGATTTATATAATTAAAAAAAAAATGAACAAACCTTTCTACGAAGGAAAAAATCTCTTTCCAAATTTTCATGGCTGAAGTAATACTCACTGAAACACAAAAGAAACAAGTTATTAAAAATGGAATTCAAACCTATACTAAGAAAATGCTAAGCTATGTGTGACTATATCCTAATATAATGTTTCAGAATTCAGGGTGACCTAAAAAAACAGAACCCAGGTCATTTGAAACATATTTTAGAGATAACATAACTTTTGTGCAAAGCATCGTAGATTACTGAAACTTTTGGGTACAAACATACACAAACACAAGTGTTAAATCAATTTTTCTAGTTAAACAAGAAATTTATGGGCTCTGTTTTTCTAGGACCCTGCATAATAAAAAAATGTTAATTCATATTCATTTCAAACAATATTTCTAAAATTTGACAAAAAGTCATGATAACTGCACAGAAATACAATTTGATTGATATTTTAGGTACGCCACATTCATACTTGCTCTTCCATACAAACTTACAGGAAATGGAGACGCCATTTTTAGTAATATAAAAACTCATAAAGCAATATCAAAAATTCCAGCCAGTGTTCCAAGTTTAACTAGAAATAATGCGACATGCCGGTACCGGCAATGCGGCACAACGCGTATGCATGTCACAAAAGATATGTTTAAGTAATTTTTCTTCATAGTCAGCAATTCAGCATAACCAAATTAAATATGAATCTCCCTTAGTACAGAATTTCATATATATTTGCAGTACAACATCACTGAGGAAGTAATTTTTATAATAAGGTTTATATGCTGATATTTATGTTAAAAAAAAGATTTCCAAAATCGTGGTCACGGGGCAAAACATAGGAAAAGACTTGTATTTTCAAAGATGCAAATTCAAAACATTCCATTACAAGCATACAGCTGATACAGTACAATACTTATACCAAAATAGCATCTAGTTATAAAAGGAAAACCAATTTACATCTGCCATTTGACGTAATCTTTTTGCTGGGCAACAGTAAGTGACTCATCTCCATATAGCTGATAGTTAGGCAGCCCGTCTAAATCCGCTTGCATGAAATTTGTCATTCCCATGGCGTTATCGAAAACAAATAAAGCGTTGGGTTGAAATTCAACTAAACCAGGAAAATCAGGATCTGAAATTTAGGAAAATACACAATATAGAGTTACATACTGGTTATGGATGTTATTATTGCACACAACTTCAATAGCAAAATTCTATAATTGATATTAATTTTGATTTAATATATTTTCCCGATGTATTCAACATTCTGTCATCTGTTTAACGCAGCCAAACTGATTTTCTTCAAAACATTTCAAAATAATTCATTCTAAAAACTTCAATTTTAGAAAAAAATTGGCATTTGAGGAAAATAAAATAAAATTTGTTGCTAAAAAATCAATTGTGTTTTAAAATACAATTATTTCACATATACCTTGATTAAATAGTCTTAGTTTCAATCTGAGAGTGATGTATTTTAATGTATAGACAAAAAAAATTCAGAATAATTTAGAATATTAATAATCATAATTTGATGATTTACAAATCAAACATATTTATCACAGCCTTTTATAAAAATTTAACCACTCTACTAACCCTCTGTACTCTTAGATTTCACTCTCGGATAACCTTCATGGCCTCCTCGCCCTCGATGACGACCTCTTCTTGGGTGAGATTTTTTATGTCCGTGGCCATAAGGTTGAGGGCTACTGTGACCAGGGTGGGGATGATTCCGCCAATTGTCATCCATATCGGAGGCTGTATTGTTGCTGTTGTTGTTTTGAGAATTCCTGGGAAATCCTATAATACAAATGAACATAGACAAAAGAAAACAGGAAAAGTTCATATATATTTGCTCATATATTATTTTAACTTCAGTAAAACACAATGCAAGTTGCACAAGAGGGCCCAGGGATGGCCAATACCGAATAGTTCACTATTTCGAATACATTCGAAATTATTATTTCCGAATATGAAATTTCGAATGCATTCAAAAATAAATTCAAGTAAAAAGCATATTTCAGGGCATGAATCAACTGCATATCTACAACCTGCCTATTTACCAGACATTTTGTCAGCAGATTGCCTGATATTTCAGAGTAGTATTGCTTTTCATATTTCAGTAGGTACAAAACTTCGAATCAAGAATTATTTATAATGGGTAGTTTTCCACACATTTTATGTCCACAGATTACCGTGATATTTTAATATATATACGATAGCAATGCTTTTATTTTTTTGGTAAGTTGACGCAATCACGGGTTATGTTAAACAGAATTAAATTAAAACGGCAAGGCATTTTAATTGCTGGTATCTAAATATTTAGCGCAACAGAAAATGATCCTAGTAAAAAGTCGATATTTCTAACTATCATTATCAAAATCGGTTGCCAAAAAGCGAAAAAAAGTATAAACTATATTTTCTAATAATTCCGACTAATTTATTGGGTGTTGTAACAATTATGGCTTTAAATATTTTTAAATTTTTCGACGTGAAGGAAATCAATGTATAAATTAGAACCTTGCAAGATAATAACGGCAATGCCAATCGTGCAACAGTATGAGGCGCACGCTTGCACAGAATATCACAAACAATTAAAGTGCCAATTCTATTTCATCATGATTACAATACGTTACAAAGCGCCAAAATCGTTTGGAGATTTCACTTAGAAGTAAACACCATGCTGACGGCCAAGAGTGGCTACTATTCGGAATTATTCGAAAATCAGCCAAAAAGGTATTCGAATACTTTGATATTCGAATGTTTTCGAATATTCGATTCGATTTGGACAACCCTGCAAGAGGCATAAGACAGATATTGAATAGCGAATAAAGCTCTCATTAACTGTCATAAATGAGTTTTTCAGATTCCAAAAGAATTTTGCAGCCTAATATATCTAAAACCTCCAATATTAAGGAATTGTCAAAAAAATATGTTCTTTCGTTTAATCATTGTAGAATAGTACAATTAAAAACATCGTAAAATTTATTACCTCTCACAGTTCTTTGATAAAAATAATTATTTCTTCTGTTGTTGCCAGGTGTTCTGCGTGTTGGTGATGAAGATCTTGCACGTGATCCTCTCCCTCTTCCCCCACCTCTCTTCGAATTTACTGGAACTGGGAGTGGAACCCACTTATGACGTCCTGAAATTGAGATTATGCAGCTGATAAATAAAAAGTGAGTCAATGAAATGATGATTTTAGAGTACAGTGTTTCCATACAGCAATAACAGTAAATGGTTTTGCTTAGTATGATCTCAGATTGAAATAGGCACTTCATAAATGAGCAGTGAATAGGAAAGACAATAATACGGCTTAATCACAGGGCGAACAATAGCTTCGGTCCATATCGGGAGGTAATAGCTGATAAGACATGTTAATCATACAGCAAACTATAGTATCTTGCCCAGTCAGTGATCCAGGTTGGTGTGGCAATAGGTGAACAGATATTCGTTTCATATGTATGTACTTGATGATGGGAGGTGTTACCAACCAGTGCTTACATTAACTATCCTACAATCAATCCTCTCACACATAATTATCCCACATGGAAATCAAAATGAAGAATAGCATATAAGGAAACGCAAATCAGTTACCCAACATATCATATATATAAAGATTATAACAAATTCCAGTAATAAATTATAATGTAAATGCAAAGGAAAAATTTAATTTAGCTGCAAAAGATAACTTTCCACTTTGGTCACAATGCAGCATATCATACCTATTTTAGTTTTGAATTAAATACAAAAATCACCAAGGGTGGTTGGTAGAGTTCATCAAAAACACGGATGGCACAATATGGCACTTCAAAAACACTTTAGTCAACCAACCTTTCTTTCTATTGTTCGGAGTAGCCGGTGCAGACCTTCTTCCTGGTACATTGTTCTCTTTCCCTTCTACATCACCGTGATCACCCCCAGCGTCTTTACTTTTTCCATGATCTCGTTTTCTCTGCTTGGGTGTAGTGCGAGGAGTCTAAATTGAAAAACATAATTAAAAAACTTGAAGTGATGTCAGACAAGACAAAAACAGATCTCTATTATGGTCCTGCATAGGAAGCACAATTTTTTCATTCATGAGGCATTTCTAAGACAACCAGGTATTGATACGGAGGAGGCTGCAAGATGCTCCCGAAGTATGCGAACCAAGATGGCGGACATCGGAACGTAACATGGGTAACAGGTTAGGGTTAGGCGATAATTTTTTTCCAATTTTCCTTATTTTAGTCCTATTATCAGTTCGAAGACTAGCCAAGAGCCTCCCGTAGTATTTATACCTAAAATTATGGCCTAACCCTAACCTAGTACACATATTACATTCCGATGTCTGCCATCTTGGTTCGCATACTTCGGGAGCCTCGAAATATCTTTCTAGGCTAAAAGGTCGGGAAACATCCATGACCCAACTTTTAAGTGAAAAGTACATTAGATGCAAAATTGGACATATTCAGATTCAATTTTGAATTTGAAGTCTATTCTATTTTTCATTGCGGAAACCCCCCTGGAAAACTGAAATTGGATTGCCATATTCTAAAATGAACAAAATAACTCTTGGCTCAGGAGTCCAGGACCACCCAATTCCCTGTCAAATACCAGTAACATAGAAAGAAGTAAATGCACAAATGTTCTGGCTTTTTGCAACAATTGCAATACTGAATTCGTTGAAAAAACTTAAATTATTAGCATTATTAGTAAGTCTCTGCACCAAATTTATAATATGTGATAACGATAGGTTATACAAAATTAAAACTTAAATTTCAAGTGCAGAGAGGATTCAAAATTCAGGATAGACATTATAAGTGAAAAAATTTTTTTCTTCAAATATTGAAATTCATGCCTTATTGAATATTGTCTCCAAAATTACACAAAAAAACTTCAATAACATTCCAAACACAAGTTGCTTAAAGAGTTAAAAATATTTTATCAAACAACTGCTCCATGAGAACGGTACATAATGTCATGACTCAATGGCAAGCATCATTAATAACCTTCAGTTACATAGGATGACAAAATATAAGTAGAGCAAGAATATGCAAACTTGCAATCTTATACGATTTGAAAAATGAAAATAGGAAACACACAAATAATTGAATAGGGATTGCTGCTACTGACTCAGAACTACATACCTTAGTATCGTTCTCTTCAACATTAACTGATTCACCACCATCTGTTTTCACAGTCTAAAACCAAAAAACAATAATAATAAAAACTAGCATGAGAATGGGGGTGTTGAAAAGAACTTCAAAAACACTTGAACAATATTGTTTGCATTAGTCGATAGTATACGATCTCTTCCACAATGCAATGCATTGAAATTAATTCCCTTTGAAAGGTTTTGTATCTGATATAAGCAACGAAACTTTAAAAGTTCGATCACCCACATTTCTACCAATGCTTAACAATTTCTTATTACTGTTCACTTAAACTTGTAGCGGTTGACGTGCAAGTCTTAAGTGTTAGTAATCTAATCACCATCGCAACTCTGATTATCCTGTGTAGGCTCGTAGGTTTGAATTCCATAGGGAATGATAATTATGTGTGAGGAGATTGTTGGACTCCTCACCGCCGTATGGTGGTTGGCATAACCGCTGGGTGGTCATGGCTTCCTCCACCATTAATTAATAAGGCCGTTAGATACAAATAACTGGATAGCTAATGCCATACCAAACATGGACTGGCAACCAGACGAGAGGCCGTGGTTCACCACATGATTGGTCCATCTTGCTCACTTTTCTCTCCCCTGAATAAATTTCAAAACCTTATCCTATTCTATCGGCCAAAGCAAGGTTGGAACCAACTATCTCCAACCCAGCTAGCATTGTATCAATGATATTGTTATACATCATGACGAACAAACTTTAATATATTAAAGAAGTGGGAACTATCACTCATAGCAAACATCTCTTACAATAAGTATATTATTATCATTGCTTGCAATTATTAAGTAATTTGCAAGGAAGGTCTTATAAATGACTATGCAGCAATGTTGTGAGTACTCCAGTACATTGATTCAATTTCCCAAACCATAGACTTGTAAAATAGCGCCTGATGACAGATTATTGGAATCTATCTGACCACATTTGCCATATGTGTCTGAGTGATAAATTGCTCCAAGTGATGTAGGGAGGCTGATCATCAAATACTATACACTTACTGGAAAAAAGTACCTAAATACTGAGGCACGAAAGGTGCTACAGATATAAATACAAAACAAGCAGAAGCTTGGTAACAGCTTACCTAATTCTTGCTTATGTGAATTTAACCAACTAAGTATTGGAGAAATATATACACGACCTATGCTAAAAACCGACTTCTTAAAGTTGTCACATATTCATACATGTTGTTTATCTCAACAAAAATTGAAAATCATAGAGATGAGTATAAATAAGCATGTATGTTACATTACCGGTTTAATTGAATCAGTGAGAGAAGGCCATGCATCGGAACCTTTGTTTTTGCTGGACGGTTTCTTGTTCTCTTTGTCCTGGAGAAGCAAAATGGAGAACATTTTAATAAAAAAATGAATATTGACGAAATGTACCTAATTAAAAGTTGTAGCTTTGATTCATTGATATTTTTACACAAAAATGTTCTGGTCACCGCTTGCTATAAAATTGAAGATACTTGAATAATTTCACACATCGAAATTTTCGAAATCATATCCAGAGGCACCGTTTTGTAATTGTGAATTGTGTAATTGTGTTTTGTAAATGCATATAAAAATTGAAAATTTAATCCTCTCATTGAAAATTCAGAATAGCATACCTTTGTATTGTCAATTCTCTCCCCACTGCTTTCTTCTGGAATAGATAAATCTAGTTTTATTTCTAGTTTTTCAAAGTATTTTAGATTCCATTTTATCTTATATCTTATTTACTTTTACTTTTTACCAAGAACTGCCTATCGATTCTAATAAAAAAAGCTTAGCAGTATGTGTTCAAACCATCATTATAATTCATTGTATACAACAATCTGTTTTTTAAAAGTATCGGTAACGAATTTTAGCCTAGCTATTTCTACACTAATTTTTTATTACTGCAATTAAATTAAAACTCCTAGGAAGACAGAGTGATAATTGAATTATCTGATTTATATTTAAATTTCCGAAACACAACAGAAAACTAACGAATAGAGTTCAAAAACGCGAAAACGAGGTAATGTTTTCGATGCGCTTGAAAATCTGTCCGAGTGAGAAAAGTGTCTGAGCAGATGCGAAGAGGGGGAGCATTGTTACGTCACTTTTTGCATCTTGCTGATTGGCCAATGTCACGAAGTAAACAAGGAAGTCGATGCCCGGGGAAAGGTCCATTAAATAAAAAGGTGTGTTGAAATATTCTGACCACACATTGAATTGGTCCATTCTTACTTTCTTAAATATCTGTTGAGCATTCATTGATAATATTATTAATACGATTTTTCCAATATTCCACATATTTTCGAAGGTTCAATAAATCCATTGGAGCGCATAAGGATGGATTTTATTAAAGTTTTATTATTAACAGAGAAAATTGCCTCAAGAAATGTATATATATATATATCAGTTAAGATAAACATTATATAAATGGGATTTCTCCTTGTAGTTATCTGAGCTTGAATTATTCTATTATTTTTTACAGTCAGATCACAATTGCTCTACATAACAATTTTTCTACAAAAACATTTTAATATCGAAACATTACTATAAGTAGTTTAAGATGTATAACGATATTCGATTCATTCAATTTACGTCCGCAAGTAAACCATTAAAAATGAAAAAAAAAAAATAATTTGCCATACTTGTGTCATTTTCCGGTGCCATGGTCACTTCCGCAGAAAGACTATTTTCTACTTCTTGGGCCCAGCTTTCTGATGACAACTGCATTGAATCTATGACACTAACTTCTACTTTTGCTGGAGACTTCCATGTCTTTTTTGGTTTTTTAGATGCTGAATTTTCTGTTGATTTAGGAGTGGCAGATTTTTTTGACCCAGATGTCTTACGGGTTTTCGTTGCCTTACCATTAGTTGCACTAGGCTTTGAAATCTTTTCATTTTGTTGAGGTTTTGGCGAAGAACCCCAAGGATTTACTTTAGGTAATGGTGCTGCAACAAATTCCACTTTATCCTTGTCTTCATCTGCATCTTGTGAATCTCTCCCTTCCCCCGAATCATTGTTATTTTCCTTTGTGTCATCTTCAGAAGGTGAATGCTGTTCTTTATCCTCATCAAGATTATTTGCATCAGATTTTTCGCTCGATTTTTCAGCGACTTTTGAGTGGTTGCTATGGTTATACCCTCTGTATCTCCTTCGTGTATCGTGGTATGGACCGTGATGTCCCCAATCGTTATGATATGATCGATTTGATATTGAACGATTTTCATTTTTCTTGTTTCGAACTTCCTTCCATCCTTCCCCAACCTCATTTTGATCAGTTTCTTGATTCATGTTATCGTCTTCTCCAGATAAATGATCTGCCACGGCGTTACCACAGTTTTCTTCAGGCAAAACTTCTGCTGGACCCTCATTTTTGAGTGTCGAAGGTAGCTGCGGATTCTCGGACACCGCCATCACTGAATGATACCCTTAGGGAAGTAAGCAAGACGACTGCAGTAGGATGCACAAGCACCTACAAGGTAACCCTAACTAGCGCTTTCACTACAGTAAAATTCACCTTCTGAAATAAATCTTATAGATTAATAAGAGTCGCTGAAGCGTGATTTTCAGAATAATCTTGACCACATGTTAATAAGCCACTATTATTTTACTACTACGAGGTGTGGCTAAAAAGAAACGAGACTGACGTCACAGATTGCGCAACACGATTAACCATTGGTAATCAACACTTTTACAGTGTGGTGTAATATGTGTTCTTTGTTCAACAGCTTTTTTGACACAATATCGCAATTATTTTTGCTCTTTAGGAGTCGTAGGTGAATGTGATTAATTGCTTGTTGAAAAAAAAATTGCCGTGCGAGATCTGATTGAGTTTTTTGGCGATAGGGGGTTCAATTGCAGAATGACGATTGGGCAAAGAGTTAACATTAAATTTTGTGTCAAACTTGGAAAAATGCATGTCAACTGGGCAACATTTAATCGTTGAGCTTTCTGCTCCTCAGTCAACAGCCTTGGCACCATTTTGGCACTCACCTTTCACAAGCCAAAAGTGTCAACCAAACTGGTGCGAACCGTTTTTTTTTGTCTTTTCCAACTTCGCAATGACGCGAATTGTTGAGCGACGGTCGCTGCGAATCAACTGCCTTTCACAACTGAACTCACGACTGATACCTTTTCGATGTTGGTATCAGTTGTGGAAGTGCAAGGCCTTCCTGACTTCGAATCATCCTCCACATCCTCCCTGCATCCCACAAATCGCTTGTGCCATTCAAAAACTCTTGTTCTGGACATGGAAGAATCTCCATAAACATCACACAATTTCTTCAAAGTCGCAGTCGCCGTTTTTCCAAGTTTGACACAAAATTTAATGTTAATTCATTGCTCAATCGTCATTCTGCAATTGAACCCCCTATCGCCAAAAAACTCAATCAGATCTCGCACGGCAATTTTTTTTTCAACAAGCAATTAATCACATTCACCTATGGCTCCTAAAGAGCAAAAATAATTGCGATATTGTGTCAAAAAAGCTGTTGAACAAAAAACACATATTACACCACACTGTAAAAGTGTTGATTACCAATGGTTAATCGTGTTGCGCAATCCGTGACGTCAGTCTCGTTTCTTTTTAGCCACACCTCGTATTTTACCTTACTTCCCAGAGTTAAGAGTGATCAAATATGTAATTAGAGAATAATATCATGTCCAATGCCAATATTTTCATTCACATTTAACCCTTTCCGTGCGGTGGGCACGTATACGTACCCACGACAAAAGTCGCTAGATTGCGGCGGGTACGTTGATGTACTCCACTGTTTTATTTAGCAATCGGTCGCAAACTGTTGGTCTAGTTTTTCTGGGTTTTAGTTTATTGATAAGAAGTCTTCTTCGAGATTAACATAAGCGACGGTAAATCTCGCTCTCGTTTACGACAGGAATTTTATTTGCTGCGGAACGAGGGAGTGTTTTTAAAATTTATGCAAATTTCGGTGTTTTTTGGGTGGTAATAGAAGACATATTATCCCTTCCATCTACCAAAGTATTTTGAGTTGGATCACGAAATTGCTACAGCAATATTATGCTATTGTTTGCCAACCACGAAGCGGTAACAGTAAAGGATTTAGCGAATATTTCTATTTTTTATCACGGTTTGAAGTTTCAACTCCCAAGAAAAAAAAATGCTTTTTTTCTATCCGGTTCGTGACTCAGACCACCACTTTTAAAAAAACTTTTTTTTAATCGCCAATTGCAAGCTCTTTAAATAAGCTTTCCAACGAGCCGTCAGTGGGCAGCAGAGGATCATTAGTTTTTCGTTAGTCGATCGATTAGTTGTGGGGGTACAAATGCATAAAATCGGCGTAGCAAATACGATTATTTAATAAAAAATAAAAATCGCATGACAAGGGTTAACATATTATTTTCTGATACAAGGTAGACCCAAAGTAGAGTAACAGATATGATAATCAATCTGTAACCTGCTATTCCCTATTGATGGCCCGGCCTGTGTACAGGGTATGAGTAACTCCATTATTCCAAATTTGAGCTTAATTTCGAAAAAGAAAATTTCACAACATTTCAATAGTTCATATTTTTATATTCTTTTACCTTCAAGCAAGGTCCCAAATTATCTACTATTCTAAATATATTCTAGAATAGCATTTTCGAATATCATATACCGGTATGTTTATATTGGGTTATGTTCAGCTAAGAAGATATCGATTAATATGTATTGCAATGCATGTTCAATGAATTTGGAAATGCAAACAAGTTAAAATAAACAATGACTTGACTGGTTTTGTATTTTCTAGTCTTCAGAAATTAATAGAAAAAATTTGTCTCTGTCTGTTTGCGAGATATTAATTTCTGGAAATAATAATTTTGCATACATTAATATTCTAAAAGATTCCTAAATCAAAACATTGAATATGATTAATTTTGTATAGATTAGGAAATCCCTGGTTCAACTACAGTCAGACAGTCGCGAGGTACAGAGGTAAAAATAACCGACCATGCTATCACTGATGTATTTGAACTTGTATATCCAATTCAAATCCAAGGTCATTAACTTCAATATCATAAAAATGGGAGTGTTTCGAATCGGAGACTTATCATTGGTCAGACATTTTTCGTCATGCAATGTGAATTGGGTGTGATAATTCTGTTAATGAATTATTGCTAAAATACTGAAATATATGAAAATTGATCACAATCTGTGCAATAGCCGAATACTGAAATAGCAGACTGGAAGGATCGCCTAATACTGTAATACAGTACTGCAGTAATAGTAGGCTAGCTACAGAGCTAACTGGCAAAACTTGCATGTCTTGAGTCAGCAAGTGCAAAATTGACTTCTGGCCTTCTGGTTATATATTTTCTCCAATGTACAGTGTCATATTTTTATTTCTGTATATTCTGATATCAGTCAGTCAGTAGACTACCGGTATATAGTAAAAGTAGCATGTGAATGCAGGAATGTGTGGAAACAGACATTATTTATTAGGTAGCGATGCACTATTTATCTCGTACTACCATTAAAATCGACGTTATATATCTGCATATAGAGTAATTAAAAAATCCCGGCAAGTACCGGTACCACTGTCAGACTGTACCGGTACCAGGTCTACCAGTCTACAGATCCGCAATGTCAGAATGTTAAACAATTATATTTCGATCTTTCGTTCGTAACACATAACAAATTTCACGTTCATAATGAGAAAAACTATCGGTTCGCCGACCCGAGAAGATGGTAAAATACCTGCCTTAACATAGGTTAAATGATAATTCAAACAACAGCCTCCTATTTCTTGCACATTTGCACTGGTCATTGCGACACGCGGCTGCCATTTTCTAACGACCACGCGGCACGTAAAACCATTAAAGGCAAATAATACTAAAGCAGGCGACGTTTGCGGCCTTCGCAAACGTGGCTGCGCTCGGTGCTTGCTCCCTGTCGCCCTTCTGTGTCGGCATGGCTTGACTAGCGACTTTCTTCTGATCCAACAAAAAAAAGACAATGTTTTCATACCTACAAATTGTTTACTATATAAAATATATAGGATACCAAGCTCAAAATGTATATAATTGTAAAATGCAGGTTGATACTGTGCTGAGTTCATTTTATTTTTTTTTTTAATTTGTAGGACAATTATGAATACAGACATCACATTTTATAGACACAATAGATAACATATTAATACGACTGCACTTACCATGTATAAAAATTGATTTATACAGCAATTTGGATGGTTAACTGCTAAATATGGTTAAAACTTAATTTAACACATAAAGAATTTTTAATAGGAGTGAGACCAAGGTAAAACCTGTATATTAATATGTGCTGCATGATTTGAAATACATTGTCCGCAAAGATATTACTATAATGTGTGAAAAGGTTTTCGAATCTATATTTATTGACATATTATTGGAAAATAAAACAATAACCTGCGGTACTATTTATAGATCACCACTAACTGATGAATTGAACAATGCTAACTTTCGGAATCTCTTGTCCCAAGTTCTCTCAAAGATGAACAAGTTGAATTATATTTATATAATGGGTGACTTCAACTATAATCTTATTGATGAGTCCAATATGAATACCAGTCTATTTGTTGATATTATGCACAACCTGGCCTATTATTCGCTGATAAACTGCCCCACCAGGATAACTTCAAGTTCTGCTACCTGTAGGCTATAGACCACATTTGGACAAACGTATATGATAAATATGTGTTTCTGATCATCTGCCAATTGTACAATGCTCTCTTCTAGAAAAGCAAATTCAGAACAGAATTGAAACGCTTTACCGCCAGTTTACTTCGTCCAACTTGAATACTTTTATGAACGAAATGAATTCTATTGATATTGATGACTTCAGCAGCATAAAGGATCCCAACACTTGCTTTGAAAAAATTTTCGAAAAATTCTCTACTGCTTACTCTCAATCTTTTCCCTACAAAAAACAAACAAACAGATCAAACAAACCTTGGTATGATACTGAGTTACGTAAACTTAACAAAGTCAAACAAAAACTTTATAAGAAATTAATAAACAATAAAAACATAAATGACAAGCACAAATTACAGTTCAATGAATGCAGGAACCTTTATACTCGATTGCTCTACAAAAAGAAATCAATTTATTACAAATCTAAATTTGCCTCTCACAAAGGCAACATCAAGGCAGTGAGGAAAACAATTAATGAACTATTTGGTAAAAATAAAACAGGTTCTTGTCCTTGGATTGGACTCGATTGCAGAAATACACAAATTGCAAATAAATTTAATGAACACTTTTCCCAAGTGGCACAAAGCCTGCTCGACTGTATGCCACAACCAGCTGGCTGTGACAAAAACTACATTTCATATCTTGGGAGGCAAGAATCCTCATCCATGTTTTAAAGGTCAACTACATCATTAGAAATAAAAAATATTATACGCGAAATGAAGCCCAAGTCAAGTTTTGGAATCGATGGTATTCCATTCAAAGTATTGAAACATGTTCCAGAACATATCATTGATATCCTGACATATATATCTAATCTTTCACTATCTAGTGGATTATTCATTGAAAGCTTCAAGACAT